TAAATAAAAACATATTTATTATATTTATCAATACATTTTTAGCTTATTACGTATCTTAATTACTTTTACATTCAATCTTTATAAACAATCGATATCCTATTTATTTGTTTTCCCCAATTTTTAATTTCCCATCAATATTCAAATTCAACTTTTAGTATTTATACTTTCAAGTTTTAAATGACCAAAGTTTTCTTTATCTCAATTCATACCAAAATCTGGTATTCAAAGTATAAATCTTATCTATTTAAGTATATTCTATTTTAATTAGTAATATAAAATCCTCACTGATAAAACCCCAATTTTCTTCACCCTTATTCTAGCTTTCTTCCTTTCCCATCTCACCCTCCATGTCAGTGCTGTTAGGTCATCAAATAGATCTCCCACTGTTATTATATATATTATTTGAAATAAAAGAGACCATCTAATCACCATTTTTTTGGGAAGGGCTAATAAATCGTCTCTGTATTATTCCAGACCCCCATAATTGTCCTGGTATGTTTATTTTCCCTTCAGTCTGTTCTTCTTGCTCAAATTTCTTCTGGTTTATATAGAAATTCTTTTCCATTTTCAATGTTGTCAGTCCCTTCTCTGGACTTTCCATTGACGATATTTGTTGGTCAGTTGAATCCTCTGTCATAATATTTAATTGATTCACTTCTTCTGTTATGTTTTGTGTAGTTGATTCTTTAGTTGTAGTCAAAATTTGAGTTTGTATATCTAGGCTGACAACTTGTTCTTTTCTGTAGCGTCTTATTTCATCACAAGCTGAAAGAATGGTTTCATGTATTGCTTTTAACATAAGGAGAATCTTTTCCTGGTCTTCATCCATATTCTCTCAGTAATGTATTAAATTAAGAGCTTTAAAGTCAGAGAATGAAAATAATTTTATAACTGAGTATAGAACACAGCTGAGTTTCTCACAGCTGATAATTGTTAAGGTTGAAAAAGTCTTATCTGTAGACTGGGCTTCCAGCCAAGTCTCCTTTAGACCAGTGGTTCTCAACCTGTGGGTCGGGACCCCATTTGGGGTCAAACGACCATTTCACAGGGGTCACCAAACAATGCAGTCCGCCATTTTTTTCCCTCTTTTCCTTAGCTGTGCTACTCCCTTTTATTCTATTGGCTTTTGAAAGCCAATAGAATTAGACTCTCTTGAATAGAGTCTAATTCTATTGGCTTTCAAAAGCCAATAGGAATTGTCCAGGCTGTCTCTGCCCTGCTGAGCCCGCCAAAAGTCCCATTCTGCAAATGGTGCTGCACCAGTTGAGTAGTCCTCGACTTCTGACCGGTTAGGGGTCGCAGCATTAAAAAGGTTGAGAACCACTGCTTTAGACAATAACAAGTTGTAATATCAAACTTAGCCACAAGATGTCACCAATGCCATTTAAGGTTTTTTAAGTCCAAAATTTTTATAATCCTTTTTTCAATTTTATTTCTTTTTTGTAAATAAAAACCAAGATCTTCAATACAGATAAGAAATCTTTTGGTCCCCAAATTCTAGAAGCATACAAATCTAGTTAGATTAGGGGTGTCAAACTCAATTTCATTGAGGGCTGCATCAGCATTGCTGTTGCCCTTGGGGGGCCGGCTGGGTGTGGTCAGGCTGGGTGTGGCCTACTGGGTGGGTGTGGATGGAGTGGGTGTGGCCTACTGGGTGGGTGTGGCCAGCTCTACATCGTTCACGTCAAGAGTGCCTGTGGGGGCCTGGGCAGGAGTGGGACAGATCTGAGGGTCTCTGGAAGAAGGGGGTGGGACCAGGGCAAGTGCCAAGGCATGGTCCACTGGAGGAGCCTCACTGTTCCTCTCAGGCCAGGCAGGGGGGGGTGGATGGTGGTGCGCATTGCCCGGAGCCCTGGGTAGCAGAGGTCAAACAACCAGCCTGGCCCCCGAGCACCCGCAGCACCAAGCCCAGCCCCACTTCCTCAAGGGGACATCGAGCTGCACTTACCTTCTCCTCAAGGCTGTTGCTGCTATTATTGCTCTCCTTATTCAGGTTGCTCATGATGGGTACAAGGGCAAAGTCAGAGGGAGGCCCATTCCCTCTCCATGGGAGGAGACCTGGCTTTGTATCCAAAGCTTCCTTAGCAATAGGACGGGAGACCCCCAGGATAGGCCAGGAGGAGAGGGCAAGGGGATGGTGAAAGGGCAGCAGGGCAGGACTAAGGTAGGACTTCCCTCAGACCTTCCCTCTCCTTTCCTTCTTTCCTTCCTTCTTTCCTAAGTACAGAGTGGTGGGAAAATATTTGAGATGAGGGAGGAAGAAAAACAGGCAAGAAATGCAGCTGGGGAAGTGTCACCCTTCATGAGGAATGAAGACATGCACCATCGCCTGGAAGTGGCCAGTGCGATGGTGCATTTCTTCATTCCTCACAAAGGTGACACCTCCCCAGCCTGCACCTAGGGGATGTGGCCAATGCGGCAGGGGTTGGTTCCTCGCTGTTTCCAGATGGACTTGTGGAGCTAAGACAGCATAGATGGCCACCATAAAATTGTACATTGGATCCCGGCCAGCCTGGGCCAGGACCAAGGCAACGGAGGCCATTCCCTCATTTTTTCCAGGATGGCTTCAAGGGCCACATGAAACCACTTTGCAGGCCGCATCCGGCCCCTGGGCCTTGTGTTTGACATGTCTGAGTTAGATTAAGGTTATTCTTTCAGAGTTTTAACTCCCCTGGATAGTCAGTCGCCGCTATTCTTAGAGGGTGGGATAAAAGTTTCCTTCCCTCTCTTCTCACAGGGGGAAAGATATTTTGGGCAGCCTTTGCAGGAGAAAAAAACTTGGGATTAAAGAGAGGCTCAGATCTCACCCAGTCTCATCCGTGCTGCTTTGGAGTGCCTGATGGTAAGTTTGACTTTGGCTGTCTGCAGCCTAGTGATGAGCCATATTTCAATGGCTGGTCTTTCGTTCGTCGGTTTGGAGGGCTACCCCGGATTGAGTGGAAGGGCTACCACCCTCCCATGATCAACCAGGGATCCCCTCCTTGCTGGTCGCCCCTACAAAATCCCCCAGCGGTGCAAAATCCAGAGTCCCCTAGGGGTGCAAAATCAAACGCGGAAGACGGAGCTCATCTTCCAGCATCCACGGCGGCCATGATGGCAAACCGGAAGTCCCAGCCATAATTATTTGTTGTTCAATAATTAAGTAATCCATAGCTTAGTGTAACATTTGAAGCCCGAAGCCTGTTACATTACTTTCCTGAAATTAAAGCCTGTGAAAAATTGTTCCTGAATGATCATGTGTTCCCCCCCCCCCAGTTTGGTGGCAAAAGCAGTCAGATCAAGTTCTTAAGTGTACAAAGTTGGTAAATTGCAAAAGAAACCTTTTGAAATACAAAGGCAAAGAGGAACAAGTAAGATGATTAGTAATGGAGGTGTAGTCCAAGATGAATCCATGATAGCAGGCAGGGAGGAGTAAAACTCAAGATTTAAGTGTTAGGCAGACATAAGCATCTGTGACATTCAGAGATGAGTGCTGTGCCTGATAGCTTTACCTTCAGTTGTAAAGATAAAGTTAAGAATATTGAAGGACTCAGATATCCTAAAAGTAGTCAATGTTGGCTCCAAGAGTTGATGGACTGCCTGACGGATTAATAAATGGTTGGAGGTCAAAAGGGGATCAGTAAATATGTGGCTCAAAGAGTGGCTGATAAATGATTGTTAATTAATTTTTTGGGCTTTCTGTAGAGTTCCATGCCAGTCCCTAGTCCTGAAGATGAAGTGTTACCCAGTATTGGATGGTCAGCTACCAGCATGTGGCCTTGAGTTGTCTCTATTATTAGCATATACATAACAATGTGAAGTCACAGCTGCCAAGTTCTTTAACTGGTATTGGCCTTCCTACACATTGACTTCTTCCCAAGAATCTAGAGTGTCATAATTATTAGTGTAATATATGTGCAGATGCAATCTGTGTAGCCTTTTGCAATTAGCTGATGGAATATTTTTCAATAATAATTATTTGTAGTACTATTATTTAATGTACTTAAATCATTTTCATATAAGTGTTTCTTAACCTTAGCAGCTTTAAGATTTGTCGACTCCAATATTCAGAATTCCACAGCCAGCCTACACATCTTAAAGTTGCCAAGGTTGAGACATGCTGTAATAAAAATAAAAGTTTGGTGATCAATGAACAATCTGAAACTTCGCAATGAGGTTGATGATCTGAAGAGTCCGGGATCTCTGCTTTAACCTATTGTGGGGTTGTTCTTTTCTTTTCGGTACTGTGGCTCCTTAAAATGTGTGTTGACTTCTCCATGGATGAAGTGATTGTTTTTACCAATAGTTACACAATGTATTGAATTTAGTATACTATTAGCAAGACCTGTCAACTTTATTGGCCAACCCACAATTTGTGAAATCTATCCAATGTTTTGAGATGCCTACTGGGATTCTGATGCAATGTTCATTTAATTAAATTAATATTGAGAATGCTAAATGACTGAAAGGAAACAAGATGGGACTTGCTTGTTTGATGTTATGGGAAATGACCCAAAATGTACATAAAGGGAAATTTTCTTGTGTCTTTCTTGAATTCTTCATATTTACTTTGAATAGATGCTTCTAAGTTCTGACGCGAGGTGGCCTCCCAGTTAACACTGCATTAAAACCTGTCTAAGAATCAAATCCTACAGAACCTAATAGGAATGGCTTACAAAGTGCAAACACCTGCGGAGAATTCTGGCAAGTACCGACACGTCCGTGTGAGTGGGGGTGTGGGGACTGCTACTGCACTCAGTAAAAGCCGTTTAAAGTCCAACGCCGTTTTTTGCCCCTCTATATATACTATCTAAAATAATTTCCGGCCAGTCCTTAAAATTATCACACTAATCAACGAAAAGCTCCATATATCAGAAGAACTGCTTCAACGTCTGTTTTGGAGAGGAAAAAAAAAACCTACCCTTCCCAGGAGTCTTTTCGGCGTAAGCGTTTAGCTCCCATCAGCCTTTGCGCCTGAATTTGAAAAAGCCGCGATTCAGGAACCTTAAAGTGAGTGATGAGTTTGCTGCGCTGGTGGCTTTGAAAATAGGGTCTGCGGTGACCCTGATTTTTGCACAGTTTTGAAGCGTGCATTGCGGTGGAGAATATTTTTTTATCGTGGTTTCTCGGGGGAGGGTGGATTGTAATGGGACGCAAAGTATCCCGGACGTGATTTCCGCTTCCTAGGGTGGGGAGAACGGAGCCCCCAGCCCAGTTTCTTGACTCGATCCTCTTTTATCGTCGGTCACTCCAACAGATTTGGAAGTAAGTAAATGAAATGCTCCTTTTCACCTCCCGGAAATATATAGCCAGGATTCATTGCGTTCAGTCCAGTCTTTTGAAATCCAAAACTGAGTCCGAACTTTTTCTGAACCTTTTTCTCGCTCTCCGTAGGTTCACGCGCGTTGTTTTGAATATTTCAAACTATATTATTACAATCTTGAAATATTTTCTTTTGTGGAAATAAATTCCTTTATTACCGACATAATACTCTTAAGTTTCCCCGTTTTGGGGGGTGGGTGGGACTTCGAGTCAATGGCGACTCCCTGGACGAGTCCCTGTAGTTTTCCTGGCAAGTTTTTCCAGAAGTAATTTGCTCTTGTTTTCTAACTAGGGCTGAGAGAGCATCACTGGCCCAAAGTCACCCAACTGGCTTTGACTTTCGGTTTCTAACCTGAAATATAACCACTACGCACCAAACTCATTAACTTTGCCTAATAAAGTTATTTATAAACCAACTGACTTATAAAAAATCAAACTAATGAGGTTTGCACACTAAGGCCCCTTCCTCATTGCTAAATGGAAATGCTCCCTACCCACCTCTTACTTGACAGAAACCTAACACAATATAGTATGACGTTTCCCCCCACTACTGATTCCTGCCCTGATTCTATGCCTCTGCTTCCAATCACTGTGGTCTTGAAGAGAATGTGTGATAATACTTAATAGACATTAAAGGGGGGTTAGAGAAATGCATCTTTAATAATAGAGGTGTTAAGAGTTAAGTAGCATACAAGTTTTGTATTCCTGTTGGCACAGTTGAATAGGGGTAGATGACTTAAGCCTTTCTGGAGATAAAAGCAATATGGGTAAGGCAGAAATAAGCTCACAGATTTTTGTGCTGTGATTCAGTTGCAGTTGGTAGGTCTTTAACCTTGTAAAGTATTGTATTATTTGTTAGATTAGTTTGTACTTTTTGTACAGAAGCTCAAGGCAACATCCATAATGCTGTTTCTTCACTCCAGAACAGTGAGGTAGGTTGGAACACAAGAGAGGAACCAGCCTAAGGTCAGCCAAAGAGTTACTATGACTGAGGGTAGGTCTCCCTAAGTCAGCACCTTAGTCCTGCCACCACATGGCTTTCATTTTGTGTGAAGTCCGGTGGCCTTGTATCCAGGTATATACATGATTTTCCCCAAGCAGTTCGTTCTGTGACTGTTAACATTACACAGAGGACCAGGTTTTCTTTGCGTTAGCTCATAGTCAAAGAGCTAGGGAGGCCATCTTCATTAATAAAATAAATAGCTCATCAGCTTTAATTTAGTTAACCCTTGCTAGGTCAGATTTAGAAAACAAGTACTAAATAAACTGCACATTAGAGTTAATGAAAACTTTTGTTACCTTTTGGAAAACAACAGCAAGCAAAGTGAAGGCGCCAGGCTTACAAACAGGGCACCTTCATTTAAACATTGTGCTACCCAAAAAATGTGCATATAATAAAATTTAATGTAACCTTGATGGAAACACTACTCTGCAGTATTAATGGTTTTCTTCCACACTCATTGGCAAGGCTAGAAGTCATTAAACTTCTGTATTTCACCTTTTCTGCTCCTGTGGATCCTTTTCTACAAAACTTTTCAGAATCAGAATAGAGCTGGAAGGCACCTTGGAGGTCTTCTAATCCAATACCCTACTCAAGCAGGAAATCCTATATATTTCAGATAAGTGGCTGTCCAGTTTCTTAAAAAATCCCAATGATGAAGCACCCACAACTTCTGAGGGCAAGCTGTTCCACTGATTAATTGTCCTCACTGTTAGGAAGTTTCTCCTTAGTTCCAGATTGCTTCTCTCTTTGATTAGTTTCCATCCACTGTTTTTTGTTTTGCCCTCAGGTGCTTTGATAAATATGTTGACCCCCTCCTCTTTGTGGCAGCCTCTCAAATACTGGAATACTGCTATCATGTTCTCTCCCCCCCCCCAGTCATTCTTTTCTTTAGACTAGCCCAGGGGTAGGCAACCCAAAACACTCAAAGAGCCACTTGGACCCGTTTCCCACCAAAAACAAAACACTGGGAGCCGCAAAACCCTTTTGATATCTAAAATGAAGATAACACTGCATATATCCTTTTTTACCTTTATTATAGGTGTGTGTATGTGTATGTGTATATGTGTATACACACACACACACACACACACACACATATACACATTAAAAATAAAAGTAAAAATATGACTCTTGGGAATATCCATACTATTAAAACAATGATCACCAAGAGAATGCTTTAAGAGAATAAAATTACATACACACACATGTAAAAAAAGGATATATGCAGTGTTATCTTCATTTTAGATGTCAAAAGGGTCTCTCTCTCCCTCCCTCTCTATCTGCCCTTGGTCTGCCACTCCTCTTCCCCCACTCTCTCTCTCCCTCTCTCTCTCTTTCTCTCTCTCTCTTTCTCCCCCCCTCCTATCTGCTGCTCACCTGGCAAGCTTCAAGCTGTTGTCCAACAACCTCCGGGTAGGCAACCTCGTCTCTTTTATGACTCATGGACTTCAACTCCCAGAATTCCTGAGTCAGCCTAGCTGGGCTAGCTAGCTCTCTCCTGCCCTTCCTGCTTCCTGCTTCCTGCAGAGACGCAGCAAAGGGAGGAGCTCCGCCCAGAAAGCTTTTCAGCTCCTCGGAGAACACTGTGAGTGCACTCTCTTTTACACATACACACACACACACACACACAAAACACACACACACACACACCCAGACACACAGAGAGAGAGAGAGAGAGAGAGAGCAGGGAAGTGCAATTGCCTCTCTCTGTCTCTGTCTCTCTCTGCAAAGGCAGAGGAGGCTGGGAGCCACAGGGGAAGGCTCAAAGAGCCGCATGCGGCTCCGGAGCCGCAGGTTGCCGACCTGTGGACTAGCCAAACCCAAATCCTGCAACCATTGTTCATGTTTTAATCTCCAGACCTTTAATCATCTTAGTTTCTCTTTCCACTTTTTCCAAAATCTCAACATCTTTTTTGTAATGTGGTGATCAAAATGGGATGCAGTATTCCAGGTGTAGTCTTACTAAGGCTTTATAAAGTGGTATTAATACTTCATGCCTCTGGTTATGCATCTGGTTAAACAACCAAGGATTTTATTAGCTACTTTGGCTGCTGCTGCACACTGCTGACTCATATTTAAGTGATCGTCTACTAGGACTCCAAGGTCCCTCTCACAGTTACTGTTTTTGAGCTGGTACCTTTAGCTTTTCCTGCCTAAGTGTAAAACCTTGCTTTTTTCCCACATTAAATTTCATGTTGGATAAGATCCATTGTTCAAGTCTGTCAAGATCTTTTTGGATCCTGAACTTGTCTTCGGGGGTGTTAGATATTCCTCCAGCTTAGTGTCATCTGCAAATTTGATGAGTTCCTTTCTGTTTCCTCATCTAAGTCATTTATGAAGATATTGAAGAATACTGGGCCTAAGATGGAATGTTGTATCCCACTGCTTACTTCCCTCCATGAAGATGTAGTACCATTAAAGGAATACTCCTTACGTATGGTTTGTCAGCCAGTTACAAATCCATCTGGTGGTGATGCTGTCTTATCTCACATTTTTCTAGGTTACCAAGAAGTAGGTTGTGATCTGCTAAGTTGAATGCCTTGCTGAAGTTGAAGTATACTATGTCCACAGCATTTCGCTGGTCTACTAATTTAGTCACTTTGTCAAAGAATGAAATAAGATTGGTTTGGCATGATCTGTTTTTAACAAATCTGTGCTGGCTTTTAATTTAACTTTATTTGTTTTTAGTTGTTCACAGATCTGTTTTTTCATTATCTTTCCCAGTATCTTGATGTTAGGTTGATTGGTCTGTAGCTTCTTGGGTCTGTTTTTTTTTTCCTTTCCTTTTTTGAAAATGGGAACCACATCTTCTCACAGCTCTTTTCCAATCCTTAGGTTATTCCCCAGTGTTCCAGGATTTTTGAAAGATATAGTACAAAGGTTTTGAGATAACATCTGCCAGCTACTTCAGAAGTCTGGATGTAATCAGTCAGATACTGGTGATTTATATTCGTCAAGATCAGATAGGTGTTCTCTAACCATTTTCTTGCTTATTTTATTTTTTATTTCTAGTCTGTCTTTTACAGTTAGGTTTTTAGTAGCTTGGGCTATAGTTTCTTTTTTGCATGAAGACTGATGCAAAGAATGATTTAAGCAGTTCTGATTTCTCTCTGCTGTCTGTTACTTCCTTGCCATTTTCCCTCTTAAGTGGATCTACTGTTTCCTTGACTTTTTTCTTGTTATTTATATGTTGAAAGAAACTTTTTTAAAATTATCTTTAACTTTTGTTGCAAGTGTTTGTTCATTCTGAGCCTTTGCTTTCCTGAAAAAGATGTTGAGACTTGGGGGAAAAGTGCGAAGAAGAGCAACTAAGATGATTAAAGGCCTGGAGACTAAAACATATGACGAACAGTTGCAGGATTTGGGGATGGCCAGTCTAGAGAAAAGAAGGACTGGGGGAGGGGGGACATGATAGCAGTATTCCAGTATTTGAGAGGCTGCCAAAAGGAGGAGGGGGTCGATTTATTTTCCAAAGCACCAAAAGGCAAGACAAGAAATAATGGATGGAAACTAATCAAGGAGAGAAGCAACCTGAAATTAAGGAGAAACCTATTAACAGTTAGGATAATTTACCAGTGGAACAGCTTGCCTTCAGATGTTGTAGATGCTTCATCACTAGAGGTTTTTAAGAAGAGACTGGACAGTCACTTGTCTGAAATGATATAGTGTTAAGTTTAGGATATAATAAATGGTTGTTGTTATACTTGCTCTTTGTATTGCCAGTGATTAGAGTTGTTGTGGGAAAAATGAGAGGAAGATGTATTGGATGTGTTTGCCCCTTGAGTTGTTTGTAAAAATACATCAATACTATAATTGTCTATTCTACAATTATAGAGTTGTAACCTACCCTCTATTTCTTTTTTCTTTTTGTATTCTAATAGAATGGAGGCAAATCTGGATAAACCAACAGTTTCCAGACCTTCCTTTCTTTCAGCAGTTGAGCTATCCCCAAGAACTGGCCCTGTGGATGCGAGTGATGTTAAAAAAAATCTATACGGTGATTTTTCTTCAAGTTTCAATATAAGCCGGGTAAGAGAATAAACAGTGGAAATTTATTTATTTAGTTTCTATGACCACCCATATCAAGGAAGTGACTTTGGGCTGATGAACAATCATAAATCACTTAAAATCAATTGCAAATATGATGCCAATAAATACAGTATATACAGCAGCCAAGAAAAATTGTAATCAATAGATCAGGGTGTCAAACTGCTGGCCCGCCGGCCGGCTGTGTCATCCGGAAGCCGCGACACCCCATTGCCGGCAATGGCAAAACTGTCCCGATATGTGACATTGCAAATTTGACATGTCTGCAATAGATGTTATTATAACCTGGAAATGGGCCCTTAACACACTCAGGATCTCCTTTATGTTCAAAGATCCTGTTTCACAATCAGAGGAAGGTTTTGTTTTGTTTTTTTTTTTAAGAAAAATCTTAAATTATAACTAGGGAAATAACGGCTTTGGAAGTGGCATAGGAAATTTGAGTAAATATAGTAGAATGAATTCCACAATTTGATCTAACTAGTCAGTTGTTGGCAGCAGAATCTAACACGGTTTGAATCTTTATTATTTTTTTTAAGTTGTCTTATAGGAGAAAGTCCGGTCTAATGTTACTTCAAGGTACTTTGGATGGGGATTACAGGAGCTTCATATGATTGTTTAACAACAATCATATGAAGCCCCTGTAATCCCCATCCAAAGTTTGTTGTTAAGGTAGAAGCGCCATTTTCAGTGGTCAAGTCTTGAGCTAAATTCAATTTGAACTCTTGAGACAGTAATGTAATGTAGTTTTCAAAAACAGCTGACATGCCATCTTATGTAGCTTATGTTGCACAGAAATGAGAGGTATCAGTATGGTGTATTTAGGAATAGCTAGTGGGCTTTTTCATAGTGAAGAATCTGCAAGGCTTTGCTGTAATAAGTGAGATGCTAATTCTCTGTGTATGAGAGAGATGGAGAGAAAGGACTGGGGGGAAAGGCTTGACTAAGGAGAAAAAAAATGTTCTCTGCAATTGTAAGTCTGGGGCATTTGAAAATTATTGGCCACAAACTAGATTGTTATCACTTTTTCTTTTAATTAGAGAGAGAGCCTGGAATCCAAAGAACGAATTCATGTTTGCCTTCGGGTCAGACCAATTTTAGAGTTGGAAAAAGAACATGATGTTCAGGTATTATTCAGCTAAAAGAATTTAAAGCAAAACTTCATTAAAATTATGCTATCTGCTTGGCTCTAAAAGATTCCCCACCCTCACCCTATTTTTCTTATAGGGTTGTGTTTCTGTGGTTGACTCAACAAGTGTTGTATTAAAAGCTCCTAAAGGCTCCAAGACATTTCGTCTTAGTGAAAAAAACTTGCGGCAATTGGTGCAGAAATTTACTTTTTCCCAGGTATAGCCAGTTTCCTTATTGGTACTATGAAAATATTATGCATATTTAATAGGATTATTATTATTATCTTTTAAAAGTTAAGACTCAATATATTTTTTGCAATTTTTATAATTGAAAACTTAAAGACCTCTCTTGTATATTTCTTAGGTATTTGGGCCCAAAACAACACAAGAAGAACTCTTTGATGGTGCTCTGAAGCACCCTATGTTAGATTTCCTAAGGGGACACAGTCGGCTAATATTTACTTACGGTGTGACAAATGCTGGGAAAACACACACCTACCGTGGTACATCTGAGAAACTCTGATTTATTTGAACTATACGTTTTAGCTAAGGTTGCTTTTTGTCCTCTTGGTGGCACAAAATAATTTCACAGTTCCAGCTATTTTGGGGATATTTAGACATTTAGATTTGAGAAGATGAAAAGCCACTTTTATATTGGTTCTAGTTAAGACTTTTCTATATTTATTGGCAGAAGTTTTAAAGTCTTAAGCCATCTTTCCTATCCCTGTAACCTGAGTTTCAAACAATAGAGAGCAAGATTGGATCCTCTTGCATGCAAAATATGTCCTCTGCTATTCCAAATCCTTTCACTCAATTGAAGCAAGGTACCCTGTTTGAAATCAATAAATGTTCTAGTGTGTATTTAAGATGAAAAGCCAGGATCTAACATAGTATTTTAGTCTTAAACTCCTCAGGTGTCTTAATCAAGTGATGGAATTCATTATCGGAATGTATTTTTATGCAACAACTACACTAGTATTCACCCACTAGATGGCAGTGTTTACAAGTTTGGATCTATGGTATATACTGTTCGCTCTTTCGTTCTAAGTAGGGTTTCCTGTTTCTGTTAAAGTTAATAGTTGAGCATAAAGCACATGGTGACTACTTTTTTTTTGCTCTGTATAGTGCTTTATATAAACAGAATTTCTAATGTCAAGTGATCATCTTTTAGCATTATTATTTGTAATAAGGAATGGATAAATCCAGGAATCAGAAAGGTGCCCATTAGTGTGTTCCATTTTGCCATGTTGGCCCTGTCAATTCTGATACATTTGGCCAAGAAAAATGCAAATAGCTAAAAAAGCTATCCTAGAACCCACAAGTATTTTTCAATAGGAGGGGGGGGGGAGGGAGAGAAAAGAACAAGGAAACATTTTCCATATAAATGATATAATGCTAATGAATAAGCTGAATTCATTGAATCTTTCCATTGCTTTTATTTTTTGGTGGCAAAGAAATTATACATATAAACTGAAGTAAGTCCCACTGAATGCAAGTAGGGCTCACTACTATGAGGAATTAAGTAAGTTCAAAGCAGTAAGAACACTTGGTGCTTTTTGTCAATATACAAGACAAGCAAGTCCATATTTGCTGCCTGCTGTAAAATTGTATTGTATTTTCCTGAAGGATGGCTCCAATTCAGCCTTCTGCAACCTGGGTCCAGCAAATATTTTGGATTTCCTTGGTCAGCAGTTATAGAGGCTAGAGTCCAGCATATCTGGACAGCAACAGATTGGGGGATAATGGCAGTCATTCAAAAATATATTTAGTTCAGAAATTTCACCCTTTCTTTATCTCTGCTCCAACAGCTTGGAACTCTACCTAAGTCTTAAATTCTATATGCCAGGTACAGATGAAGATAAAGGCATTCTCCCCAGGGCGCTGGACATGTTGTTTAAAAGCATTCAAAACAAACTGTACCCAGACATGAATCTCAAGCCCCATCGATGTAAAGACCATAGAAACCTGTCTAAAGAAGAAGTGAGAGAAGAAATATCTCTAAAAAATTCATTGCTTCACCTCCTGAAAGAGGTACTATGACTTAAGGAAAAAAAAAAGCAAACTTTTTAGCAGCTTTTAGTGAATAAACCCAGAACAGAAAAATCATAGGTTTGACAATAAGGAAACATTTAATGGAATGTAAGGATAAGGAATAGAATATTGCCTGGTTGGTGGATTAACGCATATGCCCCCCCTTCTGTCAGTTTGGGTGATGTTCGGGGGTTACATAACAAGTTCAGAGAAACTACACATTAGATGAATGCTCTGATCTGATCTTATTTGTTTTTAGTTATTGCAGAATGTGACTTTTGTGCTCACTTCATATCTTCTAATATTAAAATACAAGGGATGATGGAGAGAAACCTCTAACAAAATATTTGTGGTAATCCAAATTTTGTTCTTGACTTAATTTTCAGGTAGATTGCCACAGCAACAGTAATAGAACAACAGATAATTGTGAAGGTAAGTTAGGTTGTTCATACTCGTTTGCTATACCATTGTTTATTGAAGAGAGTTGGATTCACAAATAATGCTCAGCTAGTGTCACCAGGGCCACTCTCAACTTTGGAGTAGTGTGATGGAACCATTCTTCAAGGGATTGGTAGGATCAGGACAAAGAAGTGAATAGAATCTAGACAATTTCTGCATATATTGTACTTTGCCAACCACAAAATCTGGGTCTGCATAGCATGTTAAACCCACATCAAGCATTATTGATATTGCTGTAAAAAGTGAATATTGCTAGTTGTCACATTGTTGAGTTCATTGCTGTAGCTAGCAAAGTCTAATAGCTAACTCTGTGATATATCCAAGCTGGGGCTGTATCCTCCATACCAACTGCCTGCTACTGAATAATATGGTTTTACATTTCAACTTATTTAATTCCAATGTTCTGCCAGATATGAAAGAACCAGAAAAAGAAGCAGACCAGTCTAACCTGGAAGAGCAGAGAAATGTTAAATTCTCTGTTTGGGTTTCTTTTTGTGAAATTTACAATGAGTGCATTTATGACTTATTGCTTCCAATATCCATTGACAAGAGAAGAAAAATGCTGCGCCTGGCGCAGGACATAAAAGGCTATTCCTATGTAAAAGGTAATGAAAATTTTAGCAATTGACCATAATTTCAATAACTTACAAATACCCTCCTTTTTCAATATGAGATAGGCTTACTTTGACTAAAATTATGCATTGAATTATGCTATATAAATATCATTATAAAATGAACAATATGATACAGGTTAATATTTTCAGTCCTTGGCTCTTATCTTCACTTGTTTCACTTTATTTGGAATTTCTTTATATAGTCAGTAGATTTAATTTGTTCCATTTTTTCTACCAAATTTTGCCATTTAGGAATCCATAGATGCCTGTTATTATCTTAAAAGTACCTCTACTAACAATTATTAACTCTTCATTGGCATTTATCAGGTCACTGCTTACATAATAGTTTTTGTTCAACTTGCTTTCAAAGATAAGATTCCAAGAGAATTCATTCAGATTGGCATATATTTTGTAACATCGTAATGCTTTGCATGAGCCTGTAGAGTGTCTTGATGAGCATGGAAGTATATCCTGTGTTCTTGCTAATTTTCCTCCATAATTATTTCCGCTTTAAAAAGTGTAAGATCTTAGTCACATACATCTGAGGTTCCAAAGGGTTAATTAGCTGTGGGGGGGAAAGTACCTAGTCTTGAGACTTATTTACATCCCCCATGTATGTTTAATCTAGACCAGCCAATGTGTGAAGTAACACTTAATTTCAAAGGCAAAATATTGCTAAATCAGATTAACTATTTCTGAATTCTGTTTTTCCAATTACATTTATCTGGTAGGATTATATATCTTGTAGGGTTTTATTGTTCAATAACTAATAAATACTCTGTTTCTTGAAAGATCTACAATGGGTTCAAGTTTCAAACTCCAAAGAAGCTTATAAACTTGTGAAACTAGGGTTGAGACATCAGAGCTATGCTTCCACAAAATTGAATGCCAACTCAAGTAGAAGGTAAAACAGCAAGTGCTTGATAATGAATGGACAAATGTCTGATTTGTATTTAATTTGGAAATCTTATATCCAATCTAGACTTAATGCTCCCAAATCTTCCTGTTCATAATATGTTTCCTCAACTCAAATATTCTGGTTTTATGTTTCCTTCCACGAACAACCACAAGATGGAGCTTACAAGTTGTCATTTTCATTTCTGATCAACCTATGTTTGCCTTAACTAATAGTTGACTGGTTTAGGCAATCTTTAAACCGTCCGTTTAAAGAAATTATAGCTAAGACCTATTAAGTTGTTACAGAGCTTATAAACCACTCCAATCACAATTAACTCTTAGCAGCCTATAAGTCTGCCTCCATAGCTCAGATTAAAATACAACAAAACAAAACTATAAAAGTACAACAGTTGTTTGGGAATAGCTGCAGTCCACCCTTACCTCATTCTCATTATTTCACGTATGTATCACTGATATTTCAATTAGTAGAGGGGCAAATATCTCATTCAACTTTGCAGGACTTGAATAGTTTGAATAGCTAAGGCTTTGTAGACTTTGGAAATATCCACTCTGAAGCAAGGAATTCATGCACAAGGAATTACAACCAGAATATTGGCTGGGTGAATGAATTTATTTATTGGCTGGTAGCAAGTTGGATGTAATTTACTTGAAAACAGTACAGTACAGTACAGATAGTCATCGCTTAACAATTTATTTAGCAACAATTCAAAGTTATGACAGTACTGAAAAAGTGACAACCTGTTATCACACTTAAGACTGTCCAGTGTCCCTGCTGTCATGTGATCACAATTTGGGTGCTTGGCAACCATTGCACATTTATCATTGTCACAGCATCCTACAGTCACCTGGTGATCATTTGTGACCTTCCCAGCTGATTTTTGACGAACAAAGCTAATGGGGAAGTAGTAGGAGGTCACAAAACACAGTCATGTGATTATGTCACTTAATGACTGTAATGGGAGTACCGGAACTGCCATCGCTAAATGAGGCAGTCATGTGATATTTCGCTTAATGAGTGCTCTTTACTGTTGCTGCTAAGTTGCTGCTCATTAAGGAAGGACTATTTGTACCACAATTTCGGAATGGAAATCCTTTATGTAAGAATTGAATTCGTTGGCTTTTGAGATACAATACAGGCAAGCAAACTACTGTTTGTACCCAGAGATGTTTGGAGGTAACTTTTTCATTTTCTCTTACAGCCATAGCATATTTACTGTGAAAATGCTAAAAATTGATTCAGAAACCACGCGGGTGATGCAAGTCAATGAGTAAGCAGTCTTAATATATCAGGAAATCATTATCTTTTCAAAACCACTGTGCAGTCTGTGTCTGTGCTGAATGGGTATGCTTTTCTCTTCTACGTAGATTATTTCTCTGTGACCTGGCTGGCTCCGAGCGCTACACGAGAACCTGCAACGAAGGGGAAAGATTAAAAGAGAGTGGAAACATTAACACTTCGTTGCTTATTCTGGGCAAATGCATCAATGCCCTGAAGATCAATCAACAAACAAAGTAGGAACTGGAGGGCGTTACTTTCAGAGTAGGCAAATCTTGGACATCAGCCACCCATTTATAGAAAGGAAAAGGAAATGTTAAATAGAGAAAAGTTTCTTTTACCTTGTTACAGACTCCTCCTCATTTTCTTTCTAACTATAAAAAAATATACAAATTATGCATTCCCTATTTAATGTTCTCCTAACCTTTAAAAAAAATGAAGGTGAAGGTTCATTCTTCGAGCTTGCAGGTTGGTTTCCGAATGTTTTGTTACCAGGCTAGGTAACGTCTTCAGCAGAGTTTACAGGATGTCAGTGTCAATGTTCTGTTTATAAGGGCTTCAAGTGTAGGTGTGTCAAGTGAGGGTCTTAAAAAAAAAAGCTTGATAGTTTCTTGTTCTCCATTCCTGTATAAGAGAGAAAGAACCAAAAGAGGAAGGTTTTTAGTAAAACAGGGATAACAACAACAACAAGTTGGAAGGGACCTTGGAGGTCATCTAGTCCAACCCCCTGCTCAGGCAGGAAACCCTATACCATTTCAGACAAATGGCTGTCCAGTCTCTTAAAAACTTCCAGTGTTGGGAGCATTCACCTCTTCTGGAGGCAGGTTGTTCCACTCGTTAATTGTTCTAACTGTCAGGAAGTTTCTCCTTAGTTCTAGGTTGCTTCTCTCCTTGGTTAGTTTCCATCCGTTGTTTCTTGTCCTGCCTTCAGGCACTTTGGAGGTGCTCAACTCTTCTATGTGGGTTGTCTCCAATTTCCAGGAACCCCCAGAATTTCATTACATGTAATCCTCAACTTATTAACCATTCATTTAGTGAAGTTACAGTAGCATTGAAATAAGTGACTTGAGGCCGGTCTTCACACCTTACAATTGCAGCAACAAACCTCCTGGTCACGGGATCAGAATTTGGGCTTTTGGCAACTGGCATATATTTATGATAGTTGCTATTTCCTGGGATCACATGATCACCATTTGTGACCTTGCCAGCCAGCTTGCAACAAGCAAAGTCAATGGGGTGGTGGGAAACTGGATTCACTTAACAGTCACGTGAATCACTTAACAACTGCAGTGATTTGCTTAACGACTGACAAAAAAAGTTTTAAAATCGGGCCCAATTCGCTTAACAATTACTTTGTTTAGGAATGTAAATTCTGGGCCTGATTGTGGTTGTATTTTGAGAGGGCTACATGTGCTGAGTTTCAAAGATGCAAAGTTGTCTGCTTATCCAAGGAAAAATTATTCTATGAAAAGTACAAAGTCTTAAAACTGCCACGCCTCTTTCCAAATATACCTTGAACAAGCAACATTCTTCGTCTTGCCTGATGTAATGATTTCTTCACTCTGTGATCCTTGTAATTAAATCATGTAAATAATTTTTCAGAAGTTGTTTGCTGTAAAGACTGAAAGATTACCTGTCTTCTAGATCTTGGTTGACTGTAGGCCTCGGCAGTCTTTCCATAAGATTTTCCTTCTATGTTGATTTTCTAGAGATACCCTTTTGTTAGTTGTGGCAAGACTACTGGTCTGTTATTTATCAGAAAAAACAGTTTCCAAGCAGAAATAGTGTTTGGTTTTGACACTTAAATGACAGGGCTATGATTCATAAGGTATGTCTGTTTGGACAATTTTTCTTCTTGTTAGTTCTTAGTAGCAAGCTTTAAAACCTCTTTAACAATGAACATCTAAGTTAAAAATAGCAGGCAAAGCTTGTTTCAGTCACTATCCACCTGCACAGCATCTTAACTTTGGGATATTTGCTAGAAAGAACTCCATCTATTGTGTTTCTCCGCCATGTATCTTCATTTTCTTTTATGAATTCAAATTTGAATAGCCAGGAAACATGTATGAGCCCTAAGCCTATTTGTAGGAACAAGTGTTGAACTTATTTCTGCAGTAAAATTTTGCAGCTAACTTTCTATATGTTTAAACTTTGCTGCAAGGAGAAACTTCCTGACAGTGAGGACAGTTAATGAGTGGAACAGCTTGCCTCCAGAAATCGTGGGTGCTCCATCACTGGAGATTTTTAAGAAGAGGCCAGACAGTCACTTGTTTGAGATGGAATAGGTTCTCCTGCTTGAGCAGGGGGCTGGACTAGAAGACCTTCAAGGTCCCTTCCAGATTCTATTCTATTCTATTCTATTCTATTCTATTCTATTCTATTCTATTCTATTCTATTCTATTCTTTTTAAAAAATTCTCGTGCTTCATTCTAGGCTGCAACAGCACATTCCTTTTCGGGAAAGCAAGCTCACTCACTTCTTCCAAGGTTTCTTCAATGGGAAAGGAAAAGTTTGCATGATAGTTAATGTCAGCCAGAGTCCCTCTGCATATGATGAAACCCTCAATGTGCTAAAGTTCTCGGCAATCGCTCAAAAGGTAAATGTGTCCCGATGATTAATGGGTGTGAATGAATGCCTATCACAAAATTACTGGGTTACAAAACTTTCAAGTTGTCAGACTTCATACCAAGATTTGATAATAAATCTCAGCTTTCTGGATGCAGGTAGTCCTCGACTTACAACAGTTTGTTTAGAGACCATTCGAAGTTACAATGGTCCTGAAAAAAGGGACTTATGATCATTTTTCCACACTTATGACCGTGGCAGTATCCCCACGGTCAGGTGATTTACATTCAGATGCTCGGCAACTAGTTCATACTTACGACTGTTGCAGTGTCCTGGGGTCATGTGATCCCATTTTGTGACCTTCTGACAAGCAGAGACAATGAGCGAGCCAGATTCTCTTAACAACCGCATTACTAATTTAACAACTGCAGTGATTCACTTAACAAATGTGACAAGAAAAATCATAAAATGGTACAAAAGCCCACAAATGTCTCACTTAGCAACATAAATTCTAGGCTCCAATCTGGTCATAGGTCAAGGACTACTTGTACTTAATCCTATATTCAGTATTAGGCTAGTTTTGACTGAAGCTTCTGAGGTATGATTTGGCTAGATGAGAAACTACTAAAGACAAGAATGAAACTACTGTTGATTTGTCCACAGTAGCGCAAAGTAGTCAAAATTTTTCAGTAGGTCTGCACTGCAGTTTAAGCTCTATTTTTCCCCCCTTCCTCCCTTTCAGAGCTAACAGATACTTAGTCAATCTGTTGCTGCCTCTGGGAGACATCTGGTCATTTGAGATCAATTCTCAGCCTGAGAATTACAGGAGTCTCTACCCTTAGTTCTGCCTTCATCTCTCAGATGTGCTAATTAGCAGTTTAAAATGTAGAAAGATCAGTGTGGGGTAGTGGTAAAAGGGTTGATGTATATCCAGAGCAAAACAGGTTGAAGTCCTCCCTCAACTATGGTAGCTCCTTGGGTCACTTTAGGATAATCCCCATCTCTCAGCCCCTTATCCCATAGGCTTGTTGAGAGGATAGTTAGAAATGAGGATCTCTTGAATGACTTTCAGAGGAAAGATAGGACTATGAATCTAACAAAGAACAGTATGTATTTTGAATCTAATCTTTGTGATATTTCAAAATTGGCTATATCTCAGTGTTTAAAAAGAAACAATATTAAAGAGATGGGCATATATATATATATATATATATATATATAGATATATATATATATATATATATATATATATATATATATATATTGCAGTTAAGTTCCCTTTCTTTTTCCTACAGGAATATAGTGGAAATACAGTACAGGTAGTCCTTGACTTACAGCAGTCTATTTAGTGACCGTTTGAAGTTACAACAGCAATGAAAAAAAGTGACTTATAACCATTTTTCACACGACCCTTGCGGCATCCTCATAGTTAGGTAATCAAAATTCAAATGCTTAGCAACCGACTAATATTTATGAGTCCTGGGGTCACACAATCACCTTTTGCAATCCTCTGACAAAGTTGAGAGGGAATCCAGATTCACTTAACAGCTGTGTTCCTATCTTAACAACTACAGTGATTCATCTGGCAAGAAAGGTCATAAAATGGAGAAAAATTCACTTAGCAAATGTCTCACTTAGCAACATAAATTTTGGGCTCAATTGTAGTCGTAGTATCTTTGAAGAGCTCTTTTTTACTTATATGCAGTGAGCGTCGAGGATAAAATATTCATAAATGCTGAAACATTCCTGTTAATTGTGACTTTAAACACATTTTGTGACATCTATCTTGAATAGGTCATGGTACTAGATCCTGAGTCTCCCCAAGAAGAGAGGGTTGACCAGCTGTCCCTCAAAGCAGACTCCGAAATGACCCTTGATGATGGTGTGCGCTTACCCATGAAAAGAGCAACTATATTTTGGGAGGGGACTCTGGAAGATGTGATGGAAGATGAAGAAGAGCTAGTGGAAGATGACAGCGAAGAACACCAGGGGCACTGTTTGGCAGAAGACCCACATGCAAAAGAGGCTGACGCAACCGATGAGATGGAAAATCAACTCGAAGGCGAAGATAGCGATATCATTATCAGAAAAGAAGAATATCAGGTATGTCATTTGCCGGGCTGCATGTGTCCCAATCTTCAACCAAAAAGACTCTAATGAGCATGGGTAGCATCAAGGCAATTTAAATTAGGATGGGGTAGTGAAGAGGAAAAAAAAAGGGGAGCTTCTGCATCGGTCCCAATGAGAATTAATGCGGTTGATTAAGAGCAGGTATTTTATCAAGATTGATGGATGGGGCCCTGCTTCCTTTCACATCATTTCTGTATAGTCTAGCAAAGAAGATAGACTATCTTCAAACAACAAAGTCATATCAGGTTCCTGGCTTTGGCTTATCTCAATAAAAACTAAGCAAGGTCATGTCTGGTTAGTAAGAATATGGGACATAGACTAGACTGAGAAGATTTTTTTAAAAATCTGGAAAAATTGATGTCAAGTTATTAAACTGTTGCTAAGAAAATTACACAGACGTAGCTGAATAATGTTGGGAGATATCCCAAGTGGAACAATCAATAAGTTGGAGTAGGGTTAACGAGGTGTATTTTTTTGCGGGAGGAATGAACATTGACCACTTCTCCAGAAAGGGAAAAGGCATTTGAATAAAATTAATATATTTATAATATAACTGCATTTAACTATATAATCAATGAGCAATAGCTACACAAGATTGCATTAGGCTACATGCATTCTATACAGGCAGTCTCTCTTTAGCTGTTGATGAGAACCGGTTCTGTTTAATTTAGATCTAAAGTGGTTGTGCCAACTTGTAAGATTAAAAACATTTCCTTTGAGGTTATCTTGCTCCTGTTACTTTCTGCATCGTCTGCTTGCTTAATATAGTTCCCCTTATTAGCCAAGTTCCTTCCATGGTAGTAACAGGAACTGAGCTGGAGTTAAAGGGGCCTTTGCCTAGCAACCAAAAAGCAGAATTTTATATTTGAAAGCAAATCTAGCTTGTGTTTATCCTGCATATCTGTAGCTTGCTTTTCTACAACAATCTATATTCAAAGTTGATTTCCAACGCTTTAATTTGACAACAACTTTTTTTTTTAAAAAAAAGAAATATAAATATGTCATAGAAGCCATCCTGTTAGATAGCAAATTAAAGAATATAATAAAGCATTCTGCTTTCAGAGATGAATTTAGAAATAAAAGGGAGTCTGGCAGAAAGCTAGAGGGGTATCCACCAGGTGTGGTCAAACAAGTCAAGAAGGCTGTTGCAATAGTGTGATCGAAGCTGCACCTGTTTCTTTATGAGCTTTGATTGCACGTTGTGGCTGTTGTTTTGGATTTTTTAACCACATTGACTAATCTGCAGGAGTCGGAACCATGACACACATCTTGTGAGACTCCTGCAGATTAGTCTTTTTGGAATGCCTATTCCCTAGTGTAGATGCAGCTGAAAAGGTCATGTTCTTGTAAGACATACTGTAGAAGGAAAGCAGCAGGATTGCCTGGATCAGCGGTTCCCAACCTTTTCTGTACCCCACACTCTTAGAACTCTTCTGATATATTCTCGTACCCCTTACTAAAGTTCAAAATAACGGCAACAAATTATGCATATACAGTATAATTTTGAAAACTCAAGTTTTTGCACCCCCTGGAATATTGTCTCGCATGCCCGGTTGGGAACCTCTGGCCTAGATGCTGAACAAATTATTGCCTGTATTGGTCAGAACCAAAATGACCTTGAAGAGCAAGCGAAAGAGCCACTACCAAAACTGGTCAGATAAAAGAAATCAGAACTGTATCTGAGAAAGCATCTCAAATAAGACCCTCCCTCATTATCACCAAAAATAAAGGGAGGGAACAGAGGGAAGCACATTCAAACTTACAAGATTCTATCCTTCTATGATAAAAGCACTATTGGCTTGCATGAGCTCAGTTTCCAGTCTAGTCTAACTTGGTCAAGTCATAAAGTGGGTGGCTTCTCAATTAAATTGTTAGCAACCAATATATGAGCCATGGATGTTAACAGGATGCAACCCAGTGTAGGTTGCTGAATGGATGCACAATTTATATGCCTGCAAGCCACCTCCAGGTGCCTCTTTGTTATATGACTCAAGAGGAAGTGTAGGAAGCGCAATTTGGTTTTCTTTACCCATTCATGTTTGCTTGGAGAAAAGAGGCAGCTTTCTCCAATGTAAGTTTTCTTGCAGGGCTAGAAAACTATAGGCATATCCTGAATGAAACATTAAATCAATAATAATGGGTAATGAAGAAAATGAGGAATAACTATACAGGTGACGTCTGTTGATAATATGGCTATACCGTGAACGTATTGATGTAGGAAGCTGTCCATCTTTACTAGAAGACTGTCTTATTCAGTACTGCATCTTTTGCCTAAGAAACAGGATTATTAGAGTTTAGCATCATGTCTACAGAAACTCATCTTGCATGTCATAACACAGATAGTCTCATAATATTTATTCCTGGTTCTCCAATTTAGAAGTTACTAGATATAATAGAAGAATTGAAAAATAAGTTGATAGATGAAAAGAAAGCGAAACTGTACATGGAGCTAAAAATTCGCGAAGAAGTTACTCAAGAATGTCTTCAGTACTTCAATGCAAAGGAGAGTGACCTCAAGTAAGTCTTCTGTTTTTTGTGCCACTAGGGAGTTATAGAATGTTTTCTAGTATACAACAAAGGTGTGCTCATATTGTTTCAGAGTTTGTCAAGATCAGGCTGCTTAAATCAGGTAGAAAATTACTTAACAATGGTGAAGCTATTTCTTGTGAATGTTTAGATAAAACAAAGATTGGAAAAGTTTTAGATACCATTCAAAGGTTGTTAAGTTGCTGCTTAAAGGTTGTTCACTTATATATTACTTATATTCACCCGCAAAGCAACCTATTTCCAGATAACCTCGTACGGTCTGGTTCCCCCCTCTCTCTTCCCTCTTCTCTTCTGGCCAGGCCACAAAGGTTGGGGACCGCTGCTCTGGTCTAGTCTATTTATGGAGAAATAGGAAGTTTATAAGGAAGACCTTTTAGGTTTTGGTTTGCCTGTATGAGATATACTGCATACTAGATGGAGTGACACTTGGAAGCTCTGTTCATCAATTAAACTCCTGTGTTTACATAAATTAAAGGTATAGTGGGATTTTCCCATTCCCAATAAGTGAACGGCCAGTTTTCCTCCTACATTTCTTCCTGGTTCATCATGATAATAAAGTTACTGTGCATAATAAGGAGCTTGCATATGAAGTTGAATTTCTCATACCCAATACTCTTATCTCTTCCAACTAAAGTATTTTTTAAAGAATAAGTTGAAGGGGGTGGATTGGTATGATTTGTTTCCAAGAAGAATATGAATTGTTTCTCTTTCTGATATATTTAGGAAGATTTTTAGCTATAAAGAAGAAATAATGGAGACTACTTGTGAAGAGCGGATGAGCATTTACAAAGAGCTAGTGAAGGACTGTATTGCACTCCCAGATGGCAAAGCAGGAGCAGAAGAGACTCTTAAAAAGGATGAAAAAGTGGTAAGTTTTGTTCCAGCAAATGTAAGCAATTTTGTTACAGGAAGTCCTCAGCTAACCACCACCTGTTCAGAGATTATTCAGAATTAAGACAGCACTGAACAAGGAGACTTACAGTGGGTCCTTGAGGTTGAAGCATCCCCATGGTTACATGATTATGATTTTGGCAAATAGGCTCACAATTGTGACGGTAGCAGTGTCCCATGGTCATGTAATCTCCATTTGAAACCTTCCTTTTCGGGTTCTGACAAGCAAGGTCCTTGAGAAAGCCAGCAGGGAAGGTTGCCAATGATGATCATGTGACATTGTGTGTAAGAACTACACAGGATTCGCTTAACTGCCGCAACTGGAATGGCTGTTGTAAGTTGTCATGGTCACTTGAGATGAGGCTTTACAACCACATCACTTAGTGATGAAGCTGCCAACCTCAATGAATGTACTTAATGGAGGATTTCCTGTATTTTATCTCTTCCTGCTAAGTCAGCATATCAGCTTTGAGATATGGCCAGTGAATCTGCCATCTTTGGCTTATTGTCAATGAGAAATGCTTGAGCAAGCCATGGTTTAATTTGATTTCTGAATGCAGGCTTCCTCTTTCTTTCTTTCTTTCTTTCTTTCTTTCTTTCTTTCTTTCTTTCTTTCTTTCTTTCTTTCTTTCTTTCTTTTCTTTCTTTCTTCCTTCCTTCTTTTTTTCTCTTTCTTTCTTTCTTTCTTTCTTTCTTTCTTTCTTTCTTTCTTTCTTTCTTTCTCCCTTCCTTCCTTCCTTCCTTCCTTCCTTCCTTCCTTCCTTCCTTCCTTCCTTCCTTCCTTCTTTCTCCAGATAGATAGGGAGTTTTTCAATAATACTGTTAACTTGTGCTTCCGAGACTTTCAACGTGGTTGCATGTGTTATGTAGCCCTTCTGTTTTCCTCTCCATTTTAAATGTCCTGTTTTTCTGCAACAAGGGAGGAGGTGAAGATGGAGAACCTGGAAACGTGGCTGATCTTCCCAGTATGGTGGGGTCACTGCAACAGAATGTTGCTGATATTAAAAAACAGGCAGAAATGGCATTTGGCGTGCTTGATGCTTTGGAAGAACCTCAACTGACTATTGAGCGACTTGAAAAGCAACTGACTGATATTACAGCAGAGTTAGCCCAAGCTCATGAGGACCTCTTGAGCCAGAATAAAGGTACATAAAGAAGAGAAAGAATAAAATGATTGGCTACAGTCTGAAGGAACATGCTGCCAGTTTCACATGCCTGGAATGTGTGTGTGGAGAGAGGGATTTCAGCTTGTTTCATATTGTTATCAATTTAAAAGGGAAATGAATGTTCCTTAGAATATATTGGTAGTCCTTGACTTACATAGTTCATTCAGTGACCATTCAAAATTACGACACCATTTTTCCCTCTTAACGGCCCTTGCAGCATCTCCATGGTCACATGATCAAAATTCAGACGCTTGACAACTGACTCATATTTATGACGGTTGTAGGGTGCCAGGGTCATGTGATCCCCTTTTGCGACCTACTGACAAGCAAAGTCAACGATGATGCCAGATTTATTCAACAACTGTGTTACTAACTTAACTGCAGTGATTCACTTAACAACTGTGGCAAGAAAGGTCGTAAAATGGGACAAAGCTCACTCAATAACCGTCTCACTTAGCAACAGAAATTTTGGGCTCAATTATGGTCGTAAGTTGAGGACTATCTGTACAATCCAGACTTGGAAATGAATTTGGTTCCAGGTCCAGAGGAACTCTGAAACTCAATAGAAACATTCTATACATCAGTATGCAAATTATGTCCGTTTCTTCATTGTTTAAAAATAAAAACCAGTGATGAATATTACAGATATGATAAACATAAGCACTATTATAATTATATCTTCTGGGTCTAATTAAAAAACAGAAAATAGATTTTTAATTACTGGGGAGCCTAGCAGTGTGGCAGGAGATGCTTTGCCATTTGACCAATTAGTAATTTTGCTCTTAAGGCTGGGTTTATAAAGAAGGCATAAAAATAATTGCTTGTTTATTAATAGAATAGTTAGCTATTTCCTAATCAGTTAATTGAGCAGTACTGTATGTACATGATGTTATGAAATTAACAAAAAAGACAAAAAGTAACGTATCAAGAAAGTTTGTTAAAAAAGATTCCCTTATTTACATGATATATGAATCTGTAATGTTAAACAGTTTTCTGAACAACCCAATAATTCTTCTTGTGGCATTTAAAAAATACTTTAAAAACTACTTATATTCCAGCAGCGGTAATGCAAGAAGATAAACTGAATAAATCTGCTAAAGTTCTTCAGGATGTTACTGAGGTAAAGATTGTTTATTACATTCAAATCAGGAACAAATAGCCTCTTTTGTTGTAAAATCACAACAAAAGTAGATGGGTCTATGGAGAAAAGTTGGGAGAAAATAAAATTGTTTGGTTTCTTTCCCAGATCCACCCACAGCATTCCCCCTTGCCATTTAAAAAAAAAAAACAACTCAGAAAAAAGTCATTGAAAAAATAAAAATATTTACAGTTGTTAAAAGGTACTTTGTCAGTGAATATTGGCATGCAGAGAAATAGACTTTCAAATTGAGGAGGAAACTCCACTCACATCAGGGCTTAATGGGATCATCTGCAGCTCGTGGGTTGTCTTCTGCAGAAGATTTGGGACAATCTTCTGTAACCTCCTAAACCAGGATTTAATGAAGCCAGCACAACCCAGCTTGAGACTATATTTTGTTGTGAGTTGCCAACATCTCTTCTCAGGCTTCTTTTTCTTTTCAAGAAAATGGCTCTACAGAATAAACACATTCAGGAGCTGAGTCAAGCTGTGCAGCAAAAGGACAAAGAAATAAGTCAGCTACAAGCTTTGGTTGGTCACTTGGAAGCTTCCATAAAAGATTCTGTGAGTATTTAATTTGTCTCTCTGATCACTCAAAGGTAGCTGTCATGTGTTAATGTCAAGGTCAAGGTTTGCTATGTTTTAGAGATAATCCAAAAGTCAATTAGAATTGAGCTCCAAAAACAACCTTTGGAATTTTATTTTATTTTTTTTTAAAAATCAGCCTCTGTGTTTACAATCTATTAAGGCAAAGACTTTTGAAGATAGTGTATGATAAAGCAAAGAAGGCCTGCTGCTTAATTTCTTGAAAGATATGCAACTTGATGTGGCCAAATAGGTTCCTTTACTTCTTGGTTTCCTACTCTGTGTTTTTTTTTCCCCGTAACGAAATGTAATTACACAGAGAAAAGTAATGTTTGACTTGCTGTTGGACAGAAGAAAAAATGTCTGCTGTCCTTGAGGCAGTCTACACATCCCATCCTAGCTCTTGGGATGATGCACAGTTGGCTTAAGTTTGAAGATGCCAGCTTCATTTTTTATAGATAATCTAATTCAGTGAGATCAAAGATTGCTCTGACCAAATAGCCTTTTTCCTACACTATAAAATCACTTACAAAATGAAACAAAGCCTCTTCAGTTCCAACCTCTTTGGGTGATACCTTGATCATTGCCATAGTATCATAAGCAGAACCAATACTTTATGCATCTTCTCACAGTTTAACCTTAAAGAATGCCTTAATAGTGGCTGTGTGATTGGAAGCTTGCATGCACCCTTATGATAAATCCTCCTTTGGGGAAAATGTCAAAAGTAAAGAGACTTTCTTCTCCAGTGACTTAAGGAGCTACACCATTAGTAGTGTACATCATAATATGGAGTCATCCATAGGCATGTCAAAGAAGAATTAGACTAAATATGATCTGTGAAAGAGGGAAATCATAACTCCCTCCAGTATTGGGCCCAAACCAAATGGACATTTTACAGTTGGGATATCATCATGAGATTAGAAGATGAGCCTTCCAGATCAGAAAGTATTCAAAAAGGCACTGAGGAAGAGCAGAGACCAAGTATGAATAGCAGTGACATTTATGTTATAGCTGGAGCAATGTTGAAACAACATTTGTCAAATAACATGGTGATAGCAAAAGGAAAGATTGATGCTGTAAAGATACATACGCACCATTGGTAAATGAAACATCAGATCCATGAGCCACAGCAGACTTGATGTCAGGGATTTTACATTGATATTCTGGGAGTCAGCAAATTGAGATGGACTTGAATGTACCACTTCACATCAAAGAAACATCAGATTATAGACTAGGCATCATTAACAAAAAAAATGTCAAAGTTGGAGTCCTTGATACAACCTCTATAAATTATAACTGAAACTAAAGGAAACAAAGTCACTTGATCAAGAAGATATTACTTCAGCAGTATTCCCTTATCTGTGGCAGACACAAATAATTGCTTTAATGACTTAGATTTGGTAAATCAAGAGCCTGAAGAATTTTGGATTGAAATCTGTGAAATCATTTAATCATTTAAGATGAAATTAAATGAGAGGGAGGGAGGGAGGGGGCAATTGCCAGATTACTAAGAAGTTATACTTACTCAGTGTCTATATTTATTACTGTGACTAATATTTCATGCAGAAATAATAGTTTTGGTGACCCTATCAAAGGTAAGGTAAGGTAAAGGAGGCCCTGCAGATTTTACTCCGCTAATCATTGCTGACTCTAGTGGACAGTGCTCATCTCCATTTCAAGGCTGTTGAGCCAGCACAGTCCAAAGATATTTCTGTAGCCATGACATCAAGGAGTGCTGTTATCTACCCACCAAAGTGGTACCTATTTATCTAGTTGCATTTGCATGCTTTCGAACTGCTAGGTTGGCAGGATCTGGAGTGAGAATGGGAGCTCACCCCGTCATGCGGTGCTTAGATCTCAAACCTGGGCTGTTGGCTTTCCCGCCAACGAGCCCCGGGTCTGAAACACTGAGTCACCCAGCCACACAACGTAAGGAGTTAGTGAAATTAGCAAAGTATCTAAAATAAGTGATCTTGACAGACACATTGACTGGAATAATACATTCCAGTGTGTTTCAGTAGCAATGAAAAAAAATGTGATTTATTTTTTTATTGTAGGAGTCATTTAAACTAGAAATGGCAAAGCAGGTGAATTCTTAATGTTTCTGCCCTTTAAGAATTGGCTGTTTTATTTTAATGCAGGAGATCGCCAGTGTGACTATGAAACAGGAAAACGGCAGTAAATCCAAGGAAGAAGGTGTTGCTTCAAGAAGGAAACGATATTTAGAAAGGGATGAAGAAGGCCCCCCTTCAAAGCAAGGTATCACTTCCTCTTCTGCATATACCGAAAGGCTGCTGAGGTCAAAAATTACTTGTATATCAAAATGAAAAGTTTAAGTACAGAATTAATGTTGAGAACCAGAAGACGGCTGTCACATCAGATGTGCATCTTGCATGAACTCTTATTACTTTCATTTTATAAAAATCAAAAATAAATATTTTTAAATGGAACATCTCCTTTTCCATGTAGTACGTGTGTTTCTCAGCAAATTGATGTTGTGAACTATCTTCTGTTTTGTGAACCTGCTGGGTCTGCTCAAGTGTGTGTGTCTCTGTATGTATGCATATAGTTTTAATTCTCCTAAATCAATGGAAATTCTAAGATCTTATCTTTGTGAGTCTACTAAAAACGTTATGCTTCCTTTAGCAAGAATGCTGGCTTGCTCTGCAAAATCCTGCATATTTTCCATCTGAATTATTCTTCCCATTTTTTTACAGTCAGCAATTTACATGGTAGTTAATATTTTTGGTTTGGGATTCATGCAGCAAAAAACCATTGTTAGAGAATCTTTAAAGGTCACCAGAATAAAACCTATTACTCTATTGTACATGCCAAGTATATAAATAGATTAATCTCTGCCTCATTTATCTGGATCAGTGCTTCTCAACTTTAGCAACTATAAGTTGTATGGATTTTAAGTCCTAAAATCTCTAGCTATTATTGGCTAGGGAATTGAAGTTCACACATCTTGAATTTGTCACAGTTGAAAATCAAGACTATTATGTAGATAAGCTTGTACATAGAACATCAAAAATCCTAAAGTAAGACCTGCATGGATAGAAATTAAAATTAACATTCACAAATGTTCAAAATATTCTGTCCTGTTTTTTCAACTTATACCAGTTTTCAAAGCTACAAACAAATAAAAATAAATTTTCAATGCAACATTATATCTGCTTTTCTGTTTGTTTCTTTTCCCCTTATTTTTTTCTTAATGTTTCCAACTAGAGAAAACCTTTGTCCCATGCCTTCAACATAGAAATATTCAAATATGTTCCCCCCATGAGGTTTAAAATGCTAAATTGGTCCTTACAATAAAAAGATGAAATTTACTGTTGCACTTTTTGATAAATTAAAAATAAATCTCCCCCTCTTTTTAATCCTTTCTCTTTCCCATATATCAGATGTCTGGGATAAAAGAAGGAAGTCATGTATGTATAGCTAAATATCTGATCATGTGTTGTACTGTGGCATCTCTGGTGCTGTCGGAGCTTGGTTGTTTTCTTGCATACGTTTCAATGCCAAACTAGGTAACATCATCAGTGCTAGTAGGGAGTGGCAGGTGAGCACCGGGTGTATGCGCGCATCTCCACTTGTTTGAGCAGCAGGTAAGCACATGTCTGAATGCTCCATTTGCATGTGTGCCTGCTGTTCACACAAATGGAACGGCGATCTCGAGTATTTGCTGCCACTCACGTGGAACCATTCCTCTCCCTCCCCACTCCCCGCCGATCCACAAAGCCAGAAAGGTTTGAGGGACTCTGTTGTACAGTGGGACACTTCTTCTGGATCAGTATAAAGTTTGTTGGAATCCTGCAGCTGAAGTAGCTTTCTACTACTATGTATTTTCATGCCTCAGCAAAATTACATTCCACAAATGCTTATATTCCAATATCTATGTGTTTTATAGTATTAGCTATTCCCCTTTAATGATTTTTTTTTTCTTTTGGCCTGTTAGTAAGCATGAAAAATGCATCTTTTGAAAGCACAATGGTTATGGGAAAAGACTTTGTCCCTTCTATTTTGTCATTGAATACAATCTATGGTTTATGTGTGTGTGTGTGTGTATGTATGTATGTATGCCTATGTAAGTTTTTCTGCATCATTCCTCTCTTCAGATGTGTGCTAAATACCATTTGACTACATCTGGACTAGCAATTTCAGGTTTCAATTATCTGTGACTACTTCAGACTTTAAGTAGAGTGCTTAACCACATTATTCTCCTTGACTAGGAAGAATTTTTTTGGGTGGGTCAACATTGCACTGCTATATAAAAACACCCTATACCAGTGATGGCGAAACTTTTAGAGACCCAGTGCCCAAACTGCAACCCAAAACCCACTTATTTATCACCGGGTGCTGGGTAGGCGTGGCCGCGGTGGTCATGAGAGATTGGGTGGACGGGGCCAGGGCGGCAGGGGCCAGTTCCCTCGCCATCTCCGGGGCATGGCACGTGTGCCCACAGAGAAGGCTCTGAGTGCCGCCTCTAGCACGCATGCCATAGGTTCTCAACCACTGCCCTGTACTCCCTTTTGCAACTGATGCTATTAATGCTTGATCTGTAGAGATCAAGTTGCTAATTTTTTGCAGCTAAAGTGTCAATGCTGCTAACACTGGATATTCTTGCTTTGACAATGATGGAGATGCAGCCTTTTTCTTTCTGTTGTTTTACTCTTAGAGTTAGATGATCATGGGTCAGGGGAAGGAATGCGATGGGAATTAGTTAGACATACAATATCGTAACAAGAGCTGATAAAGAATGGCAGGACAGGAAATTGGGCAGGAAGCCAGCATTTTGAACTAATTGGAGAATGTGATTTATGACTTAGTTGTAGGAGGGAATTATGTTTTGATCTAAGAAAGGGGAAGTCAGATTTTGGCTTCAACTATGTATGTACCGAACCTGTGCTGCTCGATTAAAGATTCTTTAAGGTAAACAATGCCTCAAAGTTCTTTGAAGAGTTTCATCTTTCGGAACCATGACATTAAGCCAAAACCTTCTAGGGGTCCTGAGCCCCAGTCGCTGTCCCAAACTTGAGGGTAGCTGACAAAGATTCAGGAGAAGATTTCATCATGGAGAAAAAAAAATTGCCTGAAGCCGGCAACTCGGCAGCAGCTGCTACCCCGGGGGGGGGGGGAGCAACAGCAAACAAGCAGAAGGAGGAAGAGCTTTTGCAGGACTCCCAGCTGGAGGCAAAACCCAAGCAGCTAGGAGAGCTGATCTGGTCGTCGAATGGGAACCAGCCCAGCGGAGACTCCAGATGCCTCGAGACTGCCTTGCTACCCACGAAGACTTCAAAAGCAGACCAGCGGAGAGCTACCAGGACATCTGCCATTGAGGAATGCCTGTCTGCAGCTTGTAGCCAGCCAGTGGAGAGATTTGAAGGGATAGGACAGAGAAGCAGAAATCAGCTCCTGCCAAGAGAAGCATTCAGACCCTCCTTTGCAGATCAGACAGCCTTCCAGCCCCTGGAATCCCCTGCCAGGGTCTCCAATCCCACAGAGAGAGAGAGAATCCCATTCTGAGGCCCCTGCAGCAGTGGGGAGTTTGGAAGCCCCTGCAGGTGGATGGTCAGCGACCTTTGAGCTTGCAGCTTGGGGTGGTGCAGAAGCCAGGAGATCAGCAACTGGTGGGAGGACAACCGCAGTAAGGAGGCTGGTCACCGCCCACTAATATACAGCAACCACTGAGGGGCCTGCAGATGATGGAGTTCCAACAACAACCCCCTCCGAGGCTGCAGGGGGCCTTACAGCAGTTGAGGATGCCACACCTCCCAGCAGACCAACAGCAGGGGGAATGGCAACAGACCCCAAATGTGCCACCTCTGGGAATGCAGCAGCCAATGATTGCTCCACCTTTCAGAGCAACCTTTGATGGGGTCCCAGAGAAACTGATTTTTTTTCTCAACCAAATGTGCTCTCATTTGAACCGCTGGGCCTATCTCTACCCAGACCCAGCTACTATGGTCGATGTGATTACGTCCGGCTTAGAGGAAGAGGCATCCGAATGGCTGAACAACTTACATAATGAGCAAGCCCCCGAATTGGAGAAGCCCCACCTCTTCCTCCTAGGATGAGAGAAAGATTTGAGGACCCATCCATTGCCCTCAAAGCAGAAGAACAAATCCATAAAATAAAAGAAGCCGGCAGGCCTACCCTGGAATATGTACGAGAGTTTGGCAAGTTAGCTGGTTGAATAGAGAGGTGGCCTGAGCAGTCCATAGTCAGGGAAGGGTTAGATGATCACCTGTCTCAGGCATGCATCTATCGAGCAGTACCTGATCAGCTGCAAGAATTGTACCAGGCAGCGGTAAAACTAGACGTTCAGCTCACCTGCTATAAGAAGCCTCCCCCACCTGAAGCCGAGACAAAGTCAGAGCAACCCAAATGGCAACCACCCTCCTGAAAACTTCCAGTTGCTGCGACTGCTGAAGGACCCAGGCTACCTGCAGGCCTGCCAATCATGTGCTTCCGATGCGGACAGCAGGGACATCGAGCAGTGAGTTGCCTGGCCCCCTACCCCCAACAGCAGAGTAGACTGGGACCAGCAGCGAGAAAGAAACCTGCCCAACAGCCAACGAGAGAAAAATCCAACTGGATCACAGGAACCAGTTGCCCAAGTCACATCTCCCACGCAGGAGGACGCCAGGACTCTACCCTCTTTCGACAGCAACGACGAAGGAGAGGGTGACCCGATGGTGAGTCGACACATCCCATCTTTCTCGCTGCCAGTCAAACTCATAATCCCTAAGTTGGGAGCACAGGCAGACTTAAATGTGCTAGTCGATTCCGGATGCTCCCGGTGCATCATTAGCTTGCCATTTACCATGAAAATGGGCACATGAGCAAAGCTGCTCTCCAAACCTGTGAGGTTTCAGCAAGCCGATGGCTCCCTGATGGGAGGGACTTTTAGTCACTCAATTAACTGAGCCCCTATGCTTAGAAATAGGAGAGCACTGGGAGTTCATTTGTTTCCTGGTGGCTCCAAAAATGACTGAGGCTATGATCCTAGGATTAGCTTATTTGGACAAATGGAAGCCATTTATCTGGTGGGAGAAGGGAATGAAAACTGTGAGGCTATCTATAGGGCCCAATCCCCCTATTGATTCAACAGACGTTACAGAAAACTTTAGCCCACCCAACGAGCGAGCGCACATGGCTGCCTCATCGCCACCAGGCGAGCCACTCATCCCAGCGAGTATCGGGACCTAGCGGAGGCATTTAGTGAGAAGGAATGCGACACCCTGCCTTCCCACTGACCCAATGATTGTTCCATTGAACTGTTGCCAGGAGCCAAACTCCCACGACCAAGAATGTACACCATGTCCCCCCTTGAAATGGAGAAGATGCAGCGATACATGGACAAAAACCAAGAGTGGGTTCATTGAATGGGTCAAGTCTACTGTGGGAGCCCCTGTGTTGTTTAAAGAAAAAAAAGATGGGTCTCTTCATCTCTGCATAGAATATAAGGGTCTCAATGCTGTGAGTGTGGAAAATAAATGCCTCCTCCGCCTCTTGAAGGACTTACTAATCCACCTGGCTAAGAGGAGTGCCTTCACTAAATTAGACCTGAGAGAGGCATATTACTGGGTGAGAATAAAGGAGGGAGACGAGTAGAAAACTGCCTTCAACTGCCCCATGGGGAACTATTAGTTCAAAGTCATGTCATTTGGGCTACAAGGGGCCCCAGACATATTCATGCAGTTGATTAATGACGTCCTACATGATCACTTATACAGAGAGGTTCTGGTGTATCTTGATGACATCCTGATATACAGCATGAATATGACTGATCGTATAAAGCTGGTGAGAAAAGTTTTAAAGAAACTATTGAATGCCAAGCTTTATGTCAAACTATCAAAATGTGAATTTCACCAGACCTAATTAGATTATCTTGGCTATAGAATTTTCAATGAAGGCATTGAAATGGACCCAGCCAAAGTGAAAGCTGTAATTGAATGGCAGCCCCAAAGATTCTCAAACAGCTCCAGAGTTTCCTAGGCTTTGCCAACTTCTACCGTCAATTCATCCCCTCGTTTGCTGAGATTGCCCTACCCCTTACAGAACTACTCAAAACAGGCAAAGGAGGAGGGAAACTGCAACCGGGCCAACAACTAGCATGGACTATAGGCTGTCAAACCGCTGCTGAGAATCTAAAAAGACTATTTGCTGTTGAGCTGGTCCTAAAGCACCCCTGCCCAGGGAAGCAATTTGTAATTCAAGCTGACGCCAGCGATGTAGCCGTAGGAGCTGTATTATTGCAAAAGAACAGCAACCCTGCGCCTACAGTTTGAAAAAAATTACTGAGAATGAAAGGAGGTGGGCGTTCTGGGAAAAGGAGGCCTTCACAATCAGATGGGCTTTATTAAACTGGAGACACTATCTGGAAGGGAGCAAGGTACCTTTTGAAGTATGGACAGATCACAAAAATCTAGAAGCACTGAAAACTCCCCGCAAATTGTCCTCAAAACAGGTGCATTGGGCACAATACTTTAATCGTTTTAACTTCACTCTAAAGTACATTCCGGGAGGGAAAAACTTCCTAGCTGATGCTGTATCCAGACTGCCCCAGTACAAAAGCCAACGCGAAGAGCTCAATGAGGCAATTATCTCCAATCCACAAATGGCTGCTCAACTCATGCCTCACAGGGCCCCTAATCCTGATGACCCTGGGGCAAAGAAAATAAAACAAGAGCTCCTCACCGATCAATGGTTCAAGGACAATCAAACCTCCCTAACATGCAGGGATGGTTTGGCTTGGAAGGGGGGAAATTGTACTTGCCAGAAGCCCTCCATCTTAATGCTCTCAAACACAGCCATGACGTAAAACAGGCTGGACACTTTGGATATTTAAAAACTCTACATCTCATCCGCCGGCAGTTCTGGTGGCCAGGGTTAAAACGGGATGTGAAAAATTATATCAAGAGTTGTACTGTATGTGACACCATGAAAAGAATTCCAGGGAAACCCCCTGGGTTATTGCATCTGGTGGCAGACCCTTCCCAACCATGGGAAGAAATCGCTATGGACTTTATAGTAGACCTCCCTGAAAGTAGAAGGAATACAGTCATCTGGACTGTGATAGACCTATTTTCAAAGCAGGCTCACTTCATCGCCTGCAAAGGACTCCCGTCTGCCCAACGACTGACTAAACTGTTCTTGAAACACATCTACCGGCTGCATGGAGCCCCTAAACCAATAATTTCGGACAGGGGGTGCAGTTCACAGCTAAGTTTTGGTGGAGCTTTCTTAAACTAATTGGATCATCTCAAGGTCTATCATCTGCTTTTCACCCATCTACTAATGGGGCTGCGGAAGCCACTAACAAATTGGAGTAATATCTCAGATGTTTTATTTCCTACCAACAAACCAACTGGACCGACCTCCTCCCTTTTGCAGAGGTGGCTTACAACAACTCTGTTCACAGCAGCATTGGCTTCACGCCTTTCAGAGTAGCTACAGGAAAAGAGTTCAGCTCAATACCTGAATACCCTCAAGCACCCTCAACTTCTCAAACACTTGATCAATGGGTGAGAGGGTGGGAAGAGGTTTGGAAAGCCACGAAAGCTGCTTTAAAAAAGGAAGTCTTTTTTTTAAAAAAAGGAAGACTTATAAAAAGCAGGCAGACAGAAAGAGAGCCCCTCAAAGAACGTTCCGAGTTGGGGAAAAGGTCTATCTGTCGACCAAATATTTATGCCTTAAATTACCCAATAAGAAATTAGGACCAACATTTTTGGGGCCTTTCTCCATCGTAAGAATCATCAACCCAGTCACAGTAGAATTAAAACTCCCTAGGCTTTTAGGGAGAATTCACCCTGTCTTCCATTGCAGCTTGTTGAAACCTTTGCGAGAATCTACTTTAAAATCTTCCTCTAAGAAGGTACCTGGACCCCTCGTATGGCAGGTCAAACTCACTATGAAGTAAAGCGTATTTTTGATTCTAGAATTTTTAAAAGGAAATTGCAGTACCTAGTACAATGGAACGGATACTCGCTATCTGAAGCCACATGGGTGAAATCTAGCGATGTGAAAGCCGACAGACTCATCAAAGGATTCTATAAGAAACACCCCAGTAAACTGAGAGACAGCCCGTAAAGTATGCTTTTGTTTACGCTACAGGATTTGTCCTTTTTGTAAGGGGGCCAGATGTCAATGCTGCTAACTTTGGATTTTCTTGCTTTGACAATGATGGAGATGCCTCAGCCTCAAAAAAAGTTATAAATAAAAAAACAATATATTTTAAAGTATATTACTGTAAGATAACAATGCATTTATAAATCAAATAACTATATAATGTTTTATATCTTTATTATGTTCGGCTGCAGAGCAAAAAATAAGGAAAGAAAGACTTCAAGAAGCTTTATGATATCTAAACTGTATATTTATTTAGACTTCTGCCTCAAGCAGTGCTATCACTGCAGATAAGGTAGTCTGTACTACAGTGTCAATTTCTTAAACAGTTGCCCAGGGATAGTTAATAAACTAGAATTGACTGGTGATTTGTAAGGCAGTCAGTTTTCTGGTTTTCCCAAATTGATCTGAAGAAAATAAGGAACTAAAAATGGTCTCTAAATACCTTTTTCAGATCCTATATTCCTGTGGCAAATGTTCTAAAATGTTGTTACAAACATGTCGGCAACTGGCGGTTGAATAAAATTAATCTTTTTAATTTTTGTAGGATTCATTCACAGCAGTTCTAAAGATTCCATAGACTCAGAGAAAGCTGATGAAACACGACCCCATCATTCGAAGGAAAAGGGAGACATGGTGACCTTGGAGGAAAAAAATAAAATGCTAGAAGCTCAGGTGGCGTTACTTAGAGAAAAGTTAGTAAGAGAGGAAAATGAGAAGGTGGGAATTTCCAGTGAAATAGCTAGATTGTCTCAAGCTCTTTCTTTAGAAAAGGAAAAAGCTTCTGGCTTGAATAGGGAGCTCCAGCAACAGCAGACAATTTATGAGCAAGCAACACTTGAAATAGCTATGCTGAAAGAAGGACATAAGAGTCAAGAGGAGAAAATTCAAACTCTGCTTCAAGAGATAGGTGCTGCTAGCCAAATTACTGTAGAAGAAAAATCACAGGTAAAGACACTTGAAGTAGAATTGGGTTTATTGAATAGGCTAGGGTCACATTGTCCTGTGATAGATGTTGACTTGGCAAATCAAGAAAATATGTCAAGAGATGAGCCTTTGCCAACTCGTATTAGTGCAGATCAAAAGAGCTCATTCCATTGTAGCGTTGAAGGTATCTGGAAAATAAGCCAGCAGATCATTAATGCCTCATCTCAAAAAAGCAGTTGTATTGCAGACCTCATGCAACAGGCTGAGCAGTTACAGAGGAAAACCTTGGAGGCTGATGAGGAGAATTCTCAGCTGAAGTTGGAACTGAGCGAAACTATCAGTCAGAGAGATGCATTTGCGCAGGAGAAGACATCCCTCCTTAATCAGCTAGGGGACCTGCAACAGAAAAATGCTTTTTATGTGGAAAAATATAAGGAAGAGGAGAATAGAGCACTTGTCCATTCTGAGAGGCTAAAAACAAATGAGGACTTCTTGGAAGAGTGTAGGGCAAAAGATGTCAGAATAGTTTCTTTAGAGCAAATTGTGAAAGATAAAGATTCGGCCATTTTAGTGATGAAACAATCTGTCCAGGACATGGAGGAGAAGCTTAGCATTTCAGAAGCTAAAATCGGAAAATTCATGGATCAGGAATCACTACTCAAGGTGGAAGTTGTAGACCTGAAGAGACTGAATGAAGTTGAAAGAAAGAAGAGAGAAGAGTCAAAGCAAGTCACAAAAGAGTAAGTTTTTATTATTTCCCTACCAAATAATACAGGGTACAAATATAAATATCAGGTGAAATTAGAGTCCATCTATATTCTGTTTACCTTCTTCCCTTTTCCCAAGGAACTAGAAATGTTTAGGATAGTTTTTCAATCAGATGTTTTCTGGAAGTTGAACTCCCACTTCTAGGCTTCAGTAATTGAAATCGTTGACTGATCTACAGATTGTCCTGGAATTACAACACTGTTGCAACTTTGAAGTGACCGTTCAAAGTTGCAACAGCCATGAAAAAAGTGACTTATGACCATTTTTTACAGTTACGACCTTTGCAGCATCCCCATGATCATGCGACCAAATTTCAGATGCTTGGCATTCTGGTTCATACTTATGACCGTTGCTATGTCCCGGGTGTCATGTGATCACCTTTTGTGACCTGACAAACAAAGTCAATGGGGAAGCCAGATTCACTTAACAACCAGGTTACTGCAGTGATTCACTTAACAGCTGTGGCAAGAATAGCAAAATGGGCCAAAACTCACATAACAAATGTTTCACCTAACAACAGGAAATTTGTGCTCAATTGTGGTCATATGTCTAGGACTATCTATATTGTCTTAATATAAAGACGATTCTGTGTCAAAAGACCAAGAAAAATAACCACATTTCTGGTCATCTCTGAACCCTTTTCTAAAACTTACGTGTATAATAGTGATGACAGTAACAGTGATAAAGGACTGAAGACAGCAAAGATGCAGACTTCTATAGTAGCTTTGGGGCAAGCATTATGAACATAATAGGGGTTGCTTCTGAATAAACAGTCTTGGGAACGGGTTGTATATTTCTTGGACAAAATGCTATAGAAGAAGCAGCCCTTCAAGGTAGACCAGCTAGGAAACCAAATGCCATGTACACCAGTATTACCTTTATTGTAAAGCTTTAGTAACAAAACTGCAGGTCTGAACATGCTTCCTCTTCCTTTTGTTTATCTTGTGTGATCTAAGGAGGGCTTGTCTGAGATGTTACATTTTTGATTTGGGCTCAAACCCTTTTTCCCAACTGCCTTAGTCGTGGCTGCTTCTGCCCTCTACAAGAACATCATGCTTAACAAACTAATTAAATGAGTAGCTTAAAAGGAGCTCAAGACTCATGCTCAAATAATACTCATGAATGGCTCCTGCCTCAACTGGAGGAAGGTATTAAGTCGGTTTTCTGGTACATGTAATCTTAAATATATTTTTTTTGTAATATTTTATTGATTTTCTAATTTTACATTTAAGTATTTAAAAAGCAACGTGGTGGCTGGGTTAATCGATAATTCAATAATATACAAAAAAACTTTAGTACAAATCTCAAGCTACCACATCAAATATTTCCTCTCTTTTCCCCTTAATATCTACTGTCTCATATTTGAACTAATACAGTTCTTATTAAATCAATTAAGTAAAATAGCATTGTTATATTTATCAATAATTTTTTAGCTTATACAGTACATATCCTAGTTGCTTTAACATTCAGTCTTTATATACAATCAATGTCCTGTTGTTAGTTTTTCCCAATTTTTAATTTCCCATCAATATTTGAATTTAACATTTGATATTTATAATTTCCAAGTTTTAGGTAACCAAAGCTTCCTTTATCACAATTCATAACAAAGTCTAATATTCAAGATACACATCTATTTGAGTATATTCTATTTCCCACCATCCTACATCATTGTTAATAATACAGTATAACATCCTTATTTTCAACTAATTTCCAAATGTCTTAAATTTAATGACCAAAATTTCCCCTATTTCAATATCAAATATTTCTCTCTTTTCCCCTTAATATCTACTGTCTCATATTTAAGCTAATACAGTTCTTATTATATCAACTAAGTAAAAACATGTTTATTACATTTATCAATAAATTTTTAGCTTATATATATCTTAATTACTTTTACATTCAATCTTTATAGACAATCAATATCCTACTTATTTGTTTTCCTCAATTTTTAATTTCCCACCAATATTCAAATTTGACTTTTAATATTTATGCTTCCAAGTTTTAAGTGACCAAAATTTTCTTTATCTCAATTCATAATAAAATCTAGTATTCAAAATACATATCTTGTCTATTTGAGTATATTATATTTTAATTAGTAATATAAAATCCTCTCTAATAAATCAAAACTCCAATTTTCTTCAGCCTTATTCTGGCTTTCTTCTTTTGCCAGCTCGCCTTCCATGTCAGTGCTTTTAAGTCATCAAATAGATCTCCCTCTGTTGTTATATATATTATTTGAAATAAAAGAGACCATCCAATCATCATTTTTTGGGGAAGGGCTAGCGAATTGTCTCTCTATTATTCCAGATCCCCATAGTTGTCCTGATATGTTTCTCTTCCCTTCGGTCTGTTCTTTTTGCTCCTCAAATTTCTTCTGGTTTATATAGAAAGTCTTTTCCATTTTCAGTGTTGTCAGTCCCTTTTCTGGATTTTCCATTGACTGTGTTTGTTGGTCAGGTGAATCCTCTATCATAGTATTTAATTATTCTACTTTTTCTGTTATCTTCTGCGTAGTTGATTCTTTAATTGTATTCAAAATTTGGGTTAGTGTATCTAGGCTGACATCTTGTTCTTTTCTGTAGCATCTTATTTCATCACAAACTGAAATAATGGTTTCATGTATTGCTTTCAACATAAAAAGAATCTTTTCTTGGTCTTCATCCATATTCTCTTAATGGTTTGTTAAATTGAGGGCTTTAAAGTCAGAGAATAAAAATAATTTTATAACTGGGTATAGAACACAACTGAGCTTCTCACAGCTGATATTTGTCAAGGTTGAAAAAGTCTTATCTGTAGTCTTTATCTTCCAGCCAAGTCTCCTTTAGACAATAACAAGTTGTAATATCAAACCTGGCCACAAGATGTCACCAATGCCGTTTATGATTTTTTAAGTCAAAATTTTTATAATCCTTTTTCCAATTTTCTTTTTTTTTTAAATAAAAACCAAAGTCTTCAGTAAAGATAAAAAATCTTTTGGTCCCCAAAATTTGGAAGCATATAAATGCAGTTAGATCAGTGGTTCTCAACCTTTCTAATGCTGCGACCCCCAACCATGTGGTCGTAAGTCGAGGACTACCTGTGGGGGTAGGAGGAGGTGCGCATGCTCCTCCTCTCCTGTGGCTGGAGCGCACGCTGGGCAGGCTGAGGGTGCACGCAGGCCGTCGCCAGCAACCGCCTCGGCCCGGGAGCACCGCACATGCATGGTGCCGCCCCCTGTGCTGGCTGAGGTGTAGCTGGCAAGCGGCAGCAATGGTGCAGGCCGACCACCAGCTGGGCCACCAGCTGACCCAGCCCAAGGGAGGTAAGCCACCCGCTGGGCCCCACATGCGCCAGCAACCCTCTCTGCGTCCGCCGCTGCCCCCTAGCCTTACCTTGGCCACTGCACGTTCGGTGTGGTGGCAGGCAGGCCCAGGCGCTCCTGGGTGTAGCTGGCAAGCGGCAGCGATGGCGCAGGCCAACCACCGGCTGGGCCACCAGCTGGCCCAGCCCAAGGGAGGTAAGGCACCCGCCAGCAACCCTCCCTGCGCCCACCGGCCTCCCACCTCCCACCTCTGGCCTTCTTTTACTTACATTTAGTAGTTGCTCAGCAGGGAAGGGTGGAAACGTCCAGAAAGCTCGCCTTAGCTGCAGACAATTTGCAGCAAAGTTTGCAGACTGGGACTTTTGGCGGGCTCAGCAGGGCAGAGACAGCCTGAACAATTCCTAATGGCTTTTGAAAGCCAATAGAATAGAGTCTCTTGAATACAATCGATTCTATTGGCTTTCAAAAGCCAATAGAATAAGAGGGAGTAGCACAGCTAAGGAAAAGGGGGGGGGGAAATGGTGGACTGCGTTGTTTGGCGACCCTCGTGAAATGGTCGTTTGACCCCAAATGGGGTCGCGACCCACAGGTTGAGAACCGCTGAGTTAGATTAAGGTTATTCTTTCACTGTTTTAACTCCCCTGGATAGTCAGTCGCCGCTATTCTTAGAGGGTGGGATAGAGGTTCCCTTCCCTCTCTCCTCACAGGGGGGAAGATACTTTGGGTAGCTTTTACAGGAGAAGAAAATACTTAGGATTGAAGAGAGGTTCAGATCTCACGCTATCTCATCCACACTGCTTTAGAAGTGCCTGGTGGTAAGTTTGACTTTGGCTGTCTGCAGCCTAGTGACGAGGGATGATATAGATATGGGAAGTATAACAACTGGACCAAATATCACTATAGAAGAGGTTGAACATGCAATAAAAATAGCAAAAACAAGAAAAGCCACAGGACCTGATGATATCCCAGTAGAAATTTTAAAATTGCTGGAAGACAATGGGAAGAATTTTTTACTGCAGCTCTTCAATCAGATATATGAAACAAGAAAAATACCAAATGATTGGCTAAAATCAACCTTTGTGACAATCCCCCCAAAAATAAATGCAAAGAAGTGTACCGAATACAGAACAATAAGCTTAATGAGTCATGCCCTGAAAATATTCCTGAGAATAATTCACACAAGAATATACAACAAAATTGAAGAGTGTCTAGGTAACACACAATTTGGTTTCAGAAACAATCTTGGTACATGAGATTCACTGTTCAGCATTCAGGTTCTTGCACAGCATTGTAGAGATGTCAATCACAGTGTTTACATGTGCTTCATTGATTTCGAAAAAGCTTTTGATAAAATAAGACACAGCAAACTATTAGAAATCCTGAAACAAGGGGGACTAGATGACAAAGACATCCAAATCATAAAGAATCTATATTGGCATCAGATAGCAAATGTGAGACTAGGCCAAAAATACTCAGCTGATGCAGAAGTAAGAAGAGGGGTCAGACAGGGATGTATTCTGTCTCCACTGTTGTTCAATATCTACTCTGAGTCAATCTTCAACGAGGCACTGGAGAACATTGATGCCGGCATCAAAGTAAACAGTGTTTGGATCAACAATTTAAGATATGCTGATGATACAGTTCTGCTTGCCAGTAAGCATGAAGGCCTTCAGCTCCTCATCAACAGAGTCACAGAAATATCTGAAAAATACGGCTTGAAGCTTAACACCTCAAAAATCAAGATCATGGTCGTCAGCAAACAACCCGTTAATTTACCACCAATAAATTCAGAAGGAATACCACTAGAAAAAGTTGAAAGGATCACATGCCTTGATTCCAATTTACATGAAAGCTGGGACATGACTGTTGAAGTAAAGACAAGGATAGAAAAAGCTTGAACAGCATACTTCCAAATGAAAAAGGTCTTCTGCAGTCATGACATAAGCCTAAGACTGAAAATCAGACTTGTCAGATGCTATATTTTATCTATCCTGCTCTATGGAGTAGAGAGTTGGTCTCTAACAGAACGCCACCTGAAGAGACTGGAAGCATTTGAAATGTGGATTTACAGGCAGCTGTTACGTATAAGCTGGGTTGACAAGATCAGAAATGAGGTGATAAGCCGCTTGGGAAAGCCAAAGGAAATCATCAAAACAATTAAAAAAACGAAAATTAGAATATTTCGGACATGTGATGTGACACCCAGACAAATATGGCATACTCCATTTAATCCTACAGGGAAAGATTGAAGACAAACAAGGTCCAGGCAGAAGAAGAACATCGTGGCTTCAAAATCTAGGACTGGTTTGGACAAAAATCAGCAGCACTTTTTCGTGCGGCTGCTGATAAAAACAGGATCGCCAACATGATCGCCAACGTTTGATAACGGATATGGCACAAGAAGAAGAAGAGCCTAGTGATGAGCCATATGGCCAGTCTTTTGTCCAGTGGTTTGGAGGGCTTCCCCGGATCAAGCAGAAGGGCTACCACTCTCCCACGATCAAGCGGGGTCCCCCTCCTTGCTTGTCACCCCTACAGGGCGACTCTCGACCCTTTCCAGGGTCTCCCAATGGAGCGAAACCGAACGCGGAAGATGGAGCTCGTCTTCTGGTGGCGGCTGTGATGGCAAACCGGAAGTCATTCCCCCCCCCCCCTTTTTTGAAGATAGTGGTAATTCTTGTCCTCCCAAGTAAGAATACTTGTAGGTCAGATAAATATAAAGAAGATTCAAATGTGAAAAGACCACATGAGATAGGAAACCAACATTTTGGCTTTTAATCTTAAATATTTTTGTTAAATGATTGAATGATAAAGTGAGGGGATGCCTACCAGATCTGAAGAAGGCATAAAGCTCTTCTTCAGGAAAAGCTAATGCTTTACAGGATAGGAACGAAATAGAGTTAAGATCTTGCTAGATTAGAAAAATAGATTGAAAATAATGATATTTAACAGAGATAAATGTCATGTTCTTTAGTCTGGAAAAAGATCAGTGTGTCACATCTTGAATGGATGAGGATGTAAGTATTTAGAAGAGAAAATTAATGCACTCTGCTTCTGGCCATTGACTAGAAGCTTCAGTTAATGCAAATTGCAGCAGCTAGGTGCTAAGGTACAGTCCATGTTAAAAGATCTACAGCAGGGGTCTTCAAACTTGACCCTTTTATTACTTGTGGACTTCAACTCCCAGAATTCCTGAGCCAGGCACGCTGGCTGCGGAATTCTGGGAGTTGAAGTCCACAAGTCATAAAAGGGCCAAGTCTGAAGACCTCTGATCTACAGGTTGCTAGTTGTTGTATCTGCATAATTTAAGATGCTAGTTTTAACTCTTAAATCCCTGAACAGCTTAGGCAATTTTAGAGAGGCTGTTTCTCAATAGGCACCTGTTCAGACCTGTCTAGAAAGGCATCAAATGTGCAAGAAGATCTCCATGGAATTGCATAGAACACAAGTAGTGATAACAAAAATTGCACATTTGGCTGATTTGGCTGGACTTCCCATATAAAATTGCTTGGAATCCAAAGGCGGTTGTGTTTGTGAAAGAGAAAAATAGAAGATTTCTCTAGAAACCTAAATTAGTGTCCTTAGTGTGTTTTTTCTAACAATTGTTACCCATGGTTGATAGTTTATCATAGCTTTAGTGTAACTAATGCAGGTGTCTTCAAACTTCGCCCTTTTATGACTTGTGGACTTCAACTCCCAGAATTCCTCAGCTGGCATGCCTGGCTGAGGAATTCTGGGAGTTGCAGTCCACAAGTCATAAAAGGGCCTAGTTTGAAGACCCCTGAACTAATGCCTCATAGATAGTCTGCATATAGCTTTTGACCCCTTTTGGTTTTCTCTGAGTTCTCCCTAAATGACATTATTTCTTTGTTCTGATCAAATACCAGATAGGTGTGTTACGTTTCTCATGTCTATTTCTTTTATAACCCCTGTGAACATCACTAACAGAACTCATAAAATTGGAGATGAACATTTTGGGCCCATTCAAATAATACTGGTTGCCACGAGTCAGTGATACTGGAGTGGGCCCCATATGTCCTGTGGCTCTTGGAGGCAAAGACCAAACTGAAAAATTAAAAGCACAAATAATTGCTTGTTCCTATCTGAGAAGAATAAAATTAGCTACCAGTTCTGTCAAAAGGGTGCGAGCCAACTGAATCCCACCACTGGCTCTATTGTATTCCTGATTTGGTAAACTAGAACTCTGCAGCTTAGGGGGTTATTCCTAAAAGAGTTCATTCTCTCTTTCTTGCACTCGCGCGCACGGGTGTTCTTTGTTTCTCTTTCAGATTGAAAGAACAGCTATTAAAGAGTACTGATCTCTCTTCCCGTCTGCAAGCAGAAATCCAGCAGAAAGATGAAGAATATGCAGATCTGAAGGAGAAGTTGGCTGATACGAAAAAGCAGATCGAACAAGTTCAAAAACAGGTCTGTAAGAGGGAAAAAAATTCTTTTTTCGTCATTCTGTATGCAACACTTCTTTTGTCTTCTGCACTTACATGTAGTTCTCGACTTACAACAGTTCATTTAGTGACCGTCCAAAGTTACAACAGCACTGAAAAAAGTGACTTATGATCATTTTTCACACTTGCAATCATTACAGCTTGGTGACTGGTTCATAAAAGTGACTTATGGCCAGTTTTCACAATTATGACCGTTGCAGCATCTCCATGGTCACATCATCTAAATTCAGACACTTGACAACTGACTCCTATTTATGACAGTTGCAGTGTCTATTATGTGATCATCTTTTGTGACCATTTGACCTGCAAAATCAATGGGGAAGTCAGATTCAATTAAAAACGGTGTTACTTAATTATTGTAAAATGGGGCAAAGTTCACTTAACAAATATTTTGCTTAGCAACAGAAATTTTGGGCTCAATTGTGGTCGTAAGTCGAGGACTACCTGTACTCTTAATTTGATTAGTCATGCTTGAAGATGTAAAATCGGGTTAAATTGCAGCATTCCAGGAAGAAACTAAACAGATTGGCCTTCTATGGTCATCAGTTGAGAACCTCTTTTGAAGGTTTGTTGATGGTAGTGGATATCTTTTTTTGGGGGGGGGGGGGGATTTTGTTCAAAGCCTGTTTAGGCCAGCATCACTGGGGAATTTCCATTCCCACTGGTATAACAGAACTATCATTAACTTCCAGATTTTTCTGTCTCTTTCCTTTTTTTCATGCAGTTAGTCCAGATCAAGGTCTTTTTTCCTCTCGGCTATTAGAAGCTCCATTTGTTCTGCTTTCAAAAGAGGACAGATGTTCCTGCTGGAAGTCATCTGTCTGCTCACATTGGTGCTTGATTTGTCCTCCTTCTCTGTATTTCAAATTGCAACCCAGATATGTGGAAAAAGTAGCATTCTCCAACTGGGTATAATGTACCCCCATTGAATCTTTTTACAGGTGAGCACCATGCGTGCTGAAGAGAAATTGCTGCGGAGCAAAGTTAATGAACTTGAGAAGACCAAAGGCCAGCTAACTGAAGAACTAGATCTCAAGCAGAGGACGATCCAGCAATTTAAGAAGGTGTCACAGAATATTTTGATCTTGGTATCATTATGGAGGGGGGTTAACTGGCCCTTGGAGTGCAGTCAGTCTTTGCATGTGAATCTCCTAGTGAAGATAGCCAGTGCTTTGCGTGCCAAGACAGTGAAGGTCCAGAGAGATCCACTCAAAGACAGTCTGAATTTAATGTGAGTTACTACTATGTGTATTTAGGACTGCTCCCTGCAACTGAACATAGGCAATTCTGATTTTAGAATTACCCAGTTTTTATGGTAAAATTTTTTTTTTACAAAATGTTTAGTGTCTCTGTCTGGTGTTTTTATTTCTGTGTCCAAATCAGGATGATCTAAGTAAGAAGCTGGAGGACCTGTCACAGCAGTATCAGAAATCACGTGAAGGTATTGTAACAACTAGGAAGGACACACAGAGAGAATGAGAATGCGGATGTGTGTGGGGTGCATGTGTGCGTGCTTCTAAATGTTTCTGCTTCTTATTCCTCCTGGATTTTATAATTTTTATTTAACCTATATGTGTTGATATGAAGTACTATATCAGTAAAATCCCTGTTCCTCCCACTAGCATGCTTCCTTTCTGCCTATAGCAGAAGCTGAAGCGGGGAATCACTTGGGTTAGAAAAATGGTCCTGAGATCTACAGGAAGAGCTGCATCTCCCTGCTCCTGAATGAATTCATTTCATGGAAGGATTGCAAAGAAGGTTTACAGAGTAGCCATTTTTATTTCAAACTTTAGATGTACGTTGCAAAGAGAAAATCATTGAAGACATGAGACTGACTTTAGAGGAACAAGAACAGACTCAGTCTGAACAAGAGCAAATGCTTCAGGCCACGTTAGAAGAGAATGAAAAATGTAAAGCAGGTAAGCCACAATGGAGGATGATTTGCATTATCCCTTCTGCTCCCTTACACAAATGCCAGGTGGCCGATTGAAGCTGAGATGTAGATTTCAACTACAGGCAGTCTTTGACTTACAACAGTTCATTTAGTGACTGTTCAAAGTTACAAGGGCAGTGAAAAAAATGACTAATGACCATTTTTCAAAATTACAACCTTTGCAGCATCCCCATGATCATGTGATCACAATTCAGATGCTTGGCAACTGGTTCGTATTTATGACCGTTGCTGGGTCCCAAGGTCATTGGATCACCTTTTGAGACCTTCTCACTGTTGTAGCTGCAAACAATTGCTAATCAAGGCAGTTGCTAAATGAGGACTACTAAATAGGCATGCCAGCCAGCTAAATGAAATATGTTTGTCCTAAAGATGTTTTTCATCTATGGAAAATGTTACATGATTGTTTTTGCTTGTAACATCTTAACAGGGCTCTATCCTTGGGATTTTCTGGAGAGACAGAAACTTACATATTTACTTCTATTTGAATCAGGATAAAAAGAATATTGGCATCCTTAAACTTTTGCATTGAAGAAAACTCCTCAGAATACCATGGATAAGGCAAGAAAACAAATCGATGCACTATCGAGCAAAGAGTTCTCACTCAAGGCAGAAATGGCCAGGTTCAAATTGTTTTTATAGGTGGTCGCATAGTCAGCCAGATATTTACACTGGATTTGACATTTTTATCCACCTATAGCAGCGGTTCTCAACCTGTGGGTCGCAACCCCTTTGGGGGTCAAACAATCCTTCACAGGGGTCACCTAAGACCATCGGAAAACATATATTTCCGATGGTCTTAGGAACCAAGACACCGCTCCTCTATCCATCTCCAGGCGGATAAAAACAACACAGAGAATGGTAAGACTTAAAGCATCGAAGGAGCAACTCCCCGCCTCTCAGGTAGAGCTAGCAAAAGCCAACAACTCAGCCCACCTCCCAGCCTTTTCAACAATCAGAAGCCGTGGCCTGGACATTAGCATCCGTGACGAATCTTCCTAGGGAATCTGTGAAGCCGGTGGAGTTGCTTCAGATCGCACTTGCGTGCAGTCGCTCGCGCCTCTGTGGAAGAGGGGAGACGGGCTGGCGGGGAGTTGAGGAGGGGTGAGGTAGGAGGAGGAGGGAGGGAAGGAAGGGTTGTTAGCTGTGGAATCAGCAGGCCGGAGGGCTTTGCCATGGGGGTGGGTTCCTTTTGTATTTTGATTCCCTCCCTTTTGGAGGGAGGAATGGACATTTTATGATCTGGGGAAAAAAAAATCTGGTGTCTGTGAATAAAAGCGCCAGCGATCATCTTTTCTTTCCGCCAGCTCGTCTTGATGCATTCAGTGCAATTGCTTTTTAAAAAAAAAAAAAACAAAAAAAAAACAGGTTGGTCTCTGCCCTTGCGTGGGGGGGTGTGTGCAAGCACCTTAATTGAGTCTCCCCATCCCCATCCATGGGATTTTCCTCGGGATTGCTAGGAGCTGCGCTTAAACTCGGAATCGCCCGGCAGCAAGCGAAGAGAAGGGAGTTGGCGCGGGCGAGAAAGCCAGCAAGCCAGCCTGCCTGCCTGCCAGCCCGAATTGCGAGGTTCCCTTTGCCTTTTTCGTCATGAATTGGGAGCAAGCCAACCTCGGGATTTTCCCTCCTCCTGCCTTTAAACGGCTTCCTTTTATTCTGCCTCCCGCCTGGTCGGGATCCAAAGGCGAGGCTCTGATTGGGGAAGTGTATATTCCACTGCCAGAAATTGTTAGGAAGAAGGAAATGCATTGAGGGACTTGTCAGAAAACATTTAGATGAGAATCAAGTACGCTCAGTGGAAGGTGAAAATGTTGGAAGGAGGGGATGAAATAGCTGGAATCTGGGACAGCTATAAAGTCATATCCTTCTGTTTTGGGAAACTTCCATGAAAATGTAGTCACATAACTCCTCACTTCATCCACAAAATGTTACAGGGGTTCTGATTTTTTATTTATAACCCTTTTCCTTTCTTCCATTCTCTTGCTGCTTTTCCTTCAATTGGTCATGTGATCAAAATGTGGATGCTTGGCAACTGGCCTGTATTTATGACGGTTGCAGTGTCCCAGGGTCATGTGATTATTTTTAGCAATCTTTTGACAAGCAAAGTCAGTGGGGAAGCCAGATTCATTTAACAACTGTGTTCCTAACTTAAATAACTGCAGTGATTCACTTAATAACTGCAGCAAGAAAGGTCGTAAAATGGGTGCAACTCACTTAGCAACTGCCTTGCTTAGAAAACAGAAATGTTGGGCTCAGTCATGGTCGTAAGTTGAGGACTACCTTTAGTTGTGGAATTCCTTTTGTTGGATGGTTCTATCTTCTGGAGTCTAGAGACTGATCCTGCATATCAGATGTTTACATTACGATTCATAACAGTAGCAAAATTACAGTTATGAAGTAGCAACGAAAATAGTTTTATGGTTGGGGGTCACCACAACATGAGGAACTGTATTAAAGGGTCGCGGCATTAGGAAGGTTGAGAACCACTGACTTATAGAGTCCTTCCTAATGACCTGGGAGAGGGGGATGTTGCTGTTTGATGGAGTTAAAGGCATTGTTGTAGGATGTAATCTATTCCAAATAAAGCTGCTTTTGCTTTTGCAAATGATGGTGATTTTGATTATTTTAAATTTAACAGCCAGTCAACTCAAGTGGACTTGGATGGGGTGCAAAAAAAAAAAAAACCAGTTAAGATTTTTTTCTAAATGCCATCCAAGCGTTTTTATTATTATAATATTATAGTAAGGATACTACAGTATAAGTAAGTTAATCCTCTGATGATACCTTTAACATGATCAAACAATACATACCTATCCCAGGACCTTGGGAAGGATTCAGTAGGAAGATAAGAATGCAAAATCCAGTCTAAACATCTGGCTGACTATGAAATAAACCATAATAATAATATTAGAGCCGATTTGGTGTTCTGGGATAGGCAGTTTGGTGTGGTGGTTAAGGTGCTGACCTAGTCCCACCTTTGAGCCAGTCATTTTCCCTCTCAGTCCCCCACCCCTTCAGACAAGCAAAGACAATGGGGAAGCCAGATTCAACGGTTTACTAACTTATCAACTGCAATGATTCACTTAACAACTGTGGCAAGAAAGGTCATAAAATTTTGCCAAAACTCACTTAACAAATGTGTCACTTAGCAACAGAAATGTTGGGCTCAATTGTGGTCGTAAGTCGAGGACTACCTATATAGATATATCTGCACTTTGCAGGAGAATTTAATCATGAAAGTTGCACCCTTGGTTTCACAGGGCAGGAAATTTGACCAATCCAGTCTGTCTTGATCATCTGATGTTCCTTGAATTCTGTAATCCAGGGGTCTTCAAACTTGGCCCTTTTATGTCTTGTGGACTTCAACTCCCAGAATTCCTCAGCGTGCCTGGCTGAGGAATTCTGGGAGTTGAAGTCCACAAGTCAACTAAGAGCCATGTTTGAAGACCACTGCTGTAATCTTTGTATGCAAATTGTGACTGTCTTCAGTTGCTGCTAATGGGATTCATTTGGTCTCTTGCAATTGTATGTCATGTTGCTAATGCGCATATTTTGCTGTAGAATTGAAAGAATGGGACAAAAGATACCATGAACTAAAGGAGCAGAAGAATGATCTGAGGTCACAAGACATTAATGAAGGCCATGAAAAAAACACAAACTTGCTTCACGAACAATTAAAACAATCACAAGAGAAATTGGAGGTAATGCGTCAATTCCTGTGGCAATATGAGACTTCATGCCAAATTACTTGTGGAGATGATGTGCATGTTCTATTTTTTTCTCAAAAAAATCCCCTAATAAACTGGCATTGGTAGTCTTGACAGAAGGAACAAGGATTTTTACAATAGTATGATCAAAACAGCATGATTCTAATTTTTGCAAATTTCAGTTCCCCATTAACTACACTTAGGTTCTTCGGTAAAATATATGGGAAAACGTATTTCTTTAGATCAGGGGTCTTCAAACTTGGCGTGCCTAGGAATTCTGGGAGTTGAAGTCCACAAGTCATAAAAGGGTCAACTTTGAAGACCTCTGCTTTGGATTGTGTCAGCTCTAGAAGTGAAGGGCTTAATTGGTTGTACTAACATATTGTAATCCAATGCTATTGGCAAGAAGAAAGCCACCATTTTGAACAGAATTGGTAAAAAAGGACCGGACACCCACTCCTTAATCTTATTCAGCTGAATATTGAGTCTGAGCAGGATCATGAAGGAAAACAGAAGCTGATTCAAGGCAAATAAATGGGAGATAGAATAAAACCTATTTCCCTTTCCAGTATGAAAGGAGTGAATGTATATGCACCCTATGCACGTGAATAGATGCATATACAGCAGGGGTATCCACAGAGTGTGGTCAAAAAATTCAAGATGGCAGCTACAGTGGTGCTGTCAGAATCCAATTATATTTCATCTCTAGTTATCAAATATAGAAAACCCCAATTCTGCCTTCTCTGGATTCTGCCATAAGAGGAAGGGAAGGGGGTGAACAAAGGGGCTTTATGGCCCTCACTTCCTTCAGTATACTTCAAAGGAACTGAATGTGTGTATTGCCAAAAGAACTAACCATAAGAATGAGGCTATTGTCTTTCATATAGTTTTCTTTGAAGTCTCCATCCAGCCGGCAGTAATGAAAAGGGGGTGGAAGTGTAATGCCTGAGACTGTCGCTGAAAGAGGAGGTTGATTGGGTGGAGCTACTGGGGAACCCCTTAAAACCCTGAATTGGAGAGCTTGGACCCCAAGTCCTGTCTAGAACGCCTGCAACCATTTTCTCTTAAAAAAGGATTCCTGTTGGAAGAATTATTCTAAGAGTTCTGTCTTCTTAAGATGCAAAGTGGGATGGGTCCTTACAGGTGCAGTCAAAGCTCTGCTTGTTTCTATGTATGTTGGGCCTGAAAACCTCGAATCACACCATTGGAGTTCCATCGTGCCTCTTTTGACCCTACCTTGAGAAAAAAGGATGATCTGGTACCAAATAATGGTCAAGACTGATTACAAACAATTTTCATGAAAAAATTGGCTTTGTATAAAGTTTGTGTTTCTCAACATGAAACGATGAGAGAAATGAAGATAGAGCTCACAAATGCAGAACATGCTCTATAATGCCTTCATCTGCTAGAGTTCAGTGTCACATGTGGATTTGATATTTAAACACTTGCTCTTTTGGCAGGCAGTCAAGGATGCTTTGAGGGATTTGGGGAAGGGAAGTGGAGATTTTCAAAGTTCAGTGGTTTTGCCTCTAGAGCATTTTCACTTCCATTAGAAGAAAAGGTGTAACTCTGATTCCTTTTAAAACAGGAATGCAAAGAACTGCATGAAACAGATCGTAGGAAGTGGCTGGCAGAAAAGACGCTCCTCATAACTCAGGCGAAAGAAGCAGAAACTCTCCGTAACAAGGAGATAAAAAAATTTGCTGGGGATAAAGAATATTATGCCAAGCAACTCACAGAAGCAGTAAGTGAATTTTTGCTTTTCTTTGTATCGCTGAAAAAATCCAAGAGAAAGACTTGTGAATGAATGCCTTCCAATTTATCCTGTGCTTTAATATTGTGCACGTGTGCATAGACAAATTATGTGTGTAAGAGTACATTCATAAACACATGCACATGTTATAATACACTGCAGCTTTAAAAACTAGAAAGTCCTTCAACAACAACAACAAAAAAATACAGGGAGTCCTTGGCTTATTACTACAATTAGGCCCAAAATTTCTGTTGCTAAGTGAGACAGTTGTTAAGTGAGTTTAGCCACATTTTATAACCTTTCTTGCCACAGTTGTTAAGTGAATCACTGCAGTTGTTAAATTAGTAACACCGTTGTTAAATGAATCTGGCTTCCTCATTGACTTTGCTTGTCAGATGATCACAAAAGGCAATCACATTTCACCGAGATACTGCAAGCGTCATAAATACTAGTCAGTTGTCAAGCATCTGAATTTTGATCACGTGACCATGGGGATGCTTCAGGGGTCGTAAGTGTGAAAAACGGTCTTAAGCCATCTTTTTTAGTGCCACTGTTACTTCGAAAGGTCACTAAATGAACTATTGTAAGTCAAGGACTACCTATAATAGTCTAAACATCAGACTGACTATGTGACCGATCATAATAATTTCCAAGGATTTCTATCAGGACACTCTATGCAAGGCTGCCTTTAAAAATTACACAGAAATTACAGTTAACACAAAATATACTCATGACTGTTCAAAATTACAACAGTTCTCTGTCCAAAGTGATAGCTGTTGCAATGCCCTCATGGTCATGTGATCAAAATCCAAGCTTTTGGCAATCTCCTACCATCCTTATGACTGGCTGCAGTCTCTCCTCACCATCTCAGCTGCCCAGCTGGCTCACCAGCATTAAAACTGGGTCCTGGAGGCCTTGACCCCTCTACTCTTATCCATTTACTTTTGGTTTGTTCTGTTTACAGTCATGCCCAGTTGATATGAGGCCTGGCTTTCCTACCAAGGCTGCATTGAGCCATCCTGCAAGCGAGTGCCATTCTTGTGGTCCTTTGGAAGGTTCTTTCTCCAAATTATGCCAGGGCCTCCCCCATCCTCTGAGGCACACTCTGCTTAATGACCCACTCATCACTTAACAGCCACAATTCGGAGTGCTGGGCTTGTAGTCATTGAGCAAAGCAGTCACATGGTGCCTTGATGTATGACTGCAACAACTTACAATCAGAATTCCAGGCTCAAAAGTCATGTTTTAGGGTTACTGTTTTGGTTACCAATAAGTTTTGGGATGCAATCTAAAATGTTGGTTTTGACTCATATGTCTTTTATCCCAATGCTTGTTGGCACCAAGGTACTTAGAAGATAGCCTCCTTTGCTTTGAGTTGGCCCTCTAAAGTGTTCCTCCATTTATTTAATGGTTTCCCAGATAAGGAAAGTGAAGGAGGGTTTTGAGCAATGTTTGCTGTGATAGTCTCTGGGTTATGCAACATCTTCCTCTCTATATTAGATTTAGCATACACTAGCACCCTCATTGTTGCCCAGGGGTATCCATGGGGAATGGTAAAAAAAGTCAAAATGGTGGCCACAGCAGTATGTTACAGTTGAAAAGCAGTCAAAGCTTTGATTGCATTGCCAGAGCCACCATCATAACAATTTTGATCATATCTATGGACACACCCACTTCATTGTTGGCCTTCCGGAATTAAAGACAGTTAAAGACCATTCCCAAGGGCCATTGGGGAATGGTCACCATTATATTTAGCACTTTATGTTTTGTGGTTGTTTCTGTTTTTATCGGCTTTTATATTTTACTTTGTTTTTATGTTTGTAAACTACAAGGAATCGTAATGAACCCAACACATCTGTCATGTCTTCTCTCCAGGAAAAACTTGTGGCAGAAAAAGACCATGACCTTCAAAGATGGCGGGTAGAAAGAGACAAATTGGTGGCAGCTCTGGAAATTCAGCTGAGTTCTCTAATCTCAAGTAATGTACAGAAAGATAAGGAAATGGAAGAACTGAAAAAGATGATATTGAAATCTTCTGGGAAGGTTTGTATAGTGTTGTTACTCCTTCACAAGTCTTTTTCCTCTACTATTCTCAATTTGCCTATCATGAGAGCACAGATATGGTTAAAAAAAGATGATGGTGGTCTTGGCAAAGTAATCGAAGGCCTGTCGATCTGTATATACATTGATTTCCTTGTTCTTATGACCATCTGGCATTTTTGATATCTATGCTCCAAGAACACTCACGTCTGCCTATTGCCACTTCGCAACATTGTTTAATTGATGTACACACCACCTGATTTCCAATGACAGCTCATAAGAAAACAGGAGAATTATAAAAGAACAAAGGAATGTAGCAATAAAAGAAGGTAACCCAGAAAGCAGAGATGGGAAAACTGGGCAGCAACAAAACACATATCTACTCCTTGGAGGTAGCTATACCCATCCTAACCAAAGACCTGGTTGAAGAGCCAGATCTTCAAGCCCCTCCAAAACACCAGTAGGATGGGAACTACCCAGACTTTTTCAGGAGGAGGAAACCTCATTCCAGAGGGCATGTTTGATGGAAGCCTTTTTGGGAGTTGTTGACAGCTTTGAGAACAATTTTACTTTCACAAGGAAACTTCTGGAGACAATATACTCATTATTTATTAGGAAATAGACACTCTACTTCAACTAACTTGATATTAGGAAAGATCTGCCTTACACAGAGAGGAGTGTAGCCTAGGTGCCCAACTAGAAAGAGTGATGTCAATCACATTTGCATTGTGTGACTGTCACGTGTAGCTTCCAAGTTTTCACTCTTGATGGTGACTCTCTGAGGAAGAATTTCTGGGGAATGGCTATGAGAATTTCCAAGTTACATCCGGGTGGCCATTAGGAGATGAATGCTGAATTAGATAAGATGGTGGGTTGATCAAGGGGGATTTTTCTTTTAATTCAGCCCTCACACAAGACTAGTGTTTTCTGTGGTCGCTTTTAAGAAATTATCAGTGACTATACACAGAACTCTGTAAGTTACATAATTAAGCACTGCATTCTCCATATCCTCTGGCTGCAGGCCAGGCTCTTGATATTTAAAGTTGCTGATTGAAAGTTCACAAGAATCTAGTGCGACTTTTGGAGGTGCAAAATCACCACCAGTCTATATCTCTTTCTTCTCTCTCCAATTCTAAGTGCTTCCACAGCATAGGCTGGTTTGCAACTGTCAGGTCATTGTTGGAACTAATAATAATGACAAATATGAATTTATTCTGATACAGGCTATTCTTGATTTACAACCATTTGCTGAACAATGGTTCAAAATAACAATAACCTTGGAATGGATGCTTTGTGATGTGTAAAGCACTTCCAAGTGTTGCAAAATATTGCCTATACCCCTTGGTCACATGATCGAGAACTGGATGCTTGGCAACCATTTCATACTTACGACCGGTTGCTAAGTACACCATGATCATTTGCAATCTTTGTTGGCTTTTCCAGAAAGCAGTAAGATAAGGAAAGTTGCAAGCTGTTGCGCCTTGCCAAGAGGACTGCCTCTTGTCTCTGGAGGCTGGCTGAAAGAGCTGCCTATTGGGAAGATTTCAGCTCCATGTGGAACTCAAACTCTCTGGCAGCCAACTTTTTTACTCTGTCCTAATGGTGCAGGAGATGGCTTAATGACCACAACTGAGAGTTTGGGATTGCAGTTGCTGAGCAAAGCAATAACATGAGCATCTTGCTTAAGGACTGCTTCATTCAACAACTGAGAAACCTGTCCCAATTATGGTTGTAAGTTGAGGATTACCCATAAGCAGGTTTTCTAAAAGGCCTTCCAAAGCATTTAAATATAGATTGGTTTCAAAGATCAACACTTTCACAATTAAATGTAAAAGCAGACAACCTTTTCTCTGGGTTTAGAGGGATATTTTTTTGCCGTGCAGGGAGAAGCTACCAAGTCACTTCCTTTAACATAATTGGAGAACATTTAAAGATCAAATAAATATTTTAGATTTTGTGGTGACTTAAGGCACCCAATTTGCCACTTAAATTTTTGGCAAAAACAATTGATTTGACAAGGTGTTGGTTTTAAGCATTCCTTTTTAAATGTTGCAATTCTACAAAAACAGTTGTCCAAAATGTTTGGCCTTATCTACACAGGGGAATCACTGTGGGCCTTAAATGTGGCATAGGGAAGCTTTAGCCCTAACTGAACATAGAGCAGAATATTTTGTGAGAACCAAGTGTTGAATTAGGGCTAGGTAGCAAAAAGTAAAGTCTCCCTTGAGCTAAGTGTCACTGGCAATGATTTAATGTCCATGGGGATTTTTTTCCCCTCACAGTGCAGAAGTAGTTTACCGCTGCTGTCTTCTGGGATGACCACATGGAGAGTAAGGAGAGTAAGGAAGACAATCTTAATGGAGAGGTACAAGACCAGTCAGCAGAGTGATGGAGTGGGGTGGGGCATGAAACCATGTCTCCAGCACTAACATATGGAAGTTAATATATGGAAGTGGCTCAGGTAGATAGATACCTCCCTAATTCACTGAGCTATAAGAAGGAGGAGGAGATACAGCAAAAGACTTGCAAGATTGATGGCAGCCCCACTAGATAGACCAGATCAGGAGATCAACTCTATGTGAAAGTTAAATGTCTACGGAGATTCTCTATCATCCAGCTCATGGTTGTCTCAAAGGTGCTTTTCAAAAGGCAACTGGACTTTGTTGGGTTTTTTTTCCTTGGAAAAAGAATAAGGAAGATCACCTTGACAGAGATATGCAAGGGCATATCTATAGTCATGGCAAAAGGTGGGGGGGGGGACATGTGAGAAAGCTAAAACTATTATTGGAATTGATAATCAAAGCAGAATCTTGCAGGTCCGATTAGGTTGTACCTTCTTTCTTATATTCCTGTGAATTAAGGAGGTTTCTATCTGAACTGCTTCCAACTTATTATCTGTCTGCTAGGAAACTTAAAATATGTTTGCCCCCACCCCCCATTGTTCTCTCTACAGATCTTGCATATCTTTATCAATGTCCTCTTTCTTATTCTTTACATAGACCAAGATTCAAATTCCTACTTGATCACAGACTCCTGGCTGATTTTTGGCTAATCTCTTTTTCTTAACTTATACTTCCATTTTATCTACAAAACCCAGCACAGCATAGCATAGGACAGAATATCAAGAACTGCCTTGCCAGAATTAAACCCACCATCTGGTACAAACATTTAGGAAGGGTCTCTTACCAACCCCCCCTCCCCCCCAAAAAACAGTGTATAGGGGATGTGAGCCAGGTGGCTGGCCTTTTCATTTATAGCCTTCATGCTATGGAACAAGTTTCCTGAAAGTACAGTTGACCCTATCCTCATGGGCAATTTCTGAGACCATTAAAACCTCCCTATTTCAATTTGCCTTTGACCTTGAAATATAATGAGCACCAATTACATTAACTAGTATACTTTTTTAAGGATCTGATCTGGGTCCGAGGTTTTGTCTTCTGAGCTTTCGGATTCGTGCTAGAGCCCATTCTCAGGGAAGTAGAAGAGTCTTTTTTTTAATTTTATATTTTGTTTTTATTGCTTACTGTGATCGTATTCTGCTTTGTTGTGCACTACCCAGAATCTCCACTGATTGGGGTAGTTTATAAATCTTGCAAATAATCAAGTAGGCTTATTTTATTTAAAAGCAATGTTGGGAGGGAACGAGGAGAGACCCCCATGTACATCATCTTACATTCTCAAAGGAAAACCAGGCTACAGATGCAATGAATAAAGAATATGTTTAAATTAAATACTATTGAACAGAAAATGTACTGAAATCCCCATATCGATCTACACATCGCTATGTTTTAAATTGTGTTCTTATTGATCCTGTCTGAATCTATTTAGCTAAGTATACAATGTCTTTTTTTTCCTGTAAAGGAACACAAAACTATCCCTGAAGGATTGCGTGATGATGATTCCAAGGAACTAATTGAGATTGGATGCAAGAATGTTGTCACTGCAGTATTGACTATTTCGAATGGAGCAGAAAAAACTCAGGTGGAAGAGTCCAGTAACTCTAAGCAGGTGCAGGTAATGGTAGTTTACAAATTTAAGTCTTCTTAGCGGGCGTGGGGTGGGGATTTACTCTTAGGTAAAGGAATGGTGCATTTCCTTCCATTTTGAGGACCACCTGAAGGGGAAGGTCTTACGTGAAGCAAAGATGTTAAGTATTAACAAATATGTTCTGCCCTAATACTACCCATGGAAAGTTTTGTGCATGCAGATTTACTTTCATTGTGGGTCTCAGATAAGAATGGGGCAATTTTGGCTTTGTATCTATTATATTCCAAAGTTCTCCATTCCTTTAAGAGTAGCTCTGGTTTGTTATGCTATATTGAAGCTAATATAGCAAATTTCTCCCATCCCACTCAAGACTGTTTACCATTTCTATTCCTTGTGCACAACCTGTGGCGCTTCCCAAATGTTAACATCTATTGGGGTATGAGTGTAGTTATAGCAGCTGAATAGTTTTCTCTAATGGTAACATTTTCCAGTATATATCTAACATGAAAAAATATTTTATTCCTTCTAATCTGCTTCCAGCAACATGCCCTATCTTCCTGTGATAAGAATGATTCCATGCCAGGACCACAGATGTGGGACCCCAGTTTTGCTGATAGATGCTCACTAGCAGCTTCCAGTCAACCAGAAACAGTCATCTCTGAACATGCTGCAAGATTTAGGATTGTAAGTTGAAAAACAGCCTGTGAGTCGAAACCAAAGCAGCCAAGCAAAACCCAACAGCCGAATGATTCACATGCTCTCTTACAGTTTGTCCTGGAGAACATATAAAGCTGGATCAGAGTTCAGGACCTAACACCAGGCGTATGCATGAACTATCAGAGACCCAGCCCATCTTATAAAGATCTCTCTCTCTCTATAAGAAGCTCATAGAATTATAGCTCTGGATTGTACAATATCTACGCTATAGCATAATAAGAAAGGGGAAGCAAACCCATAATTAGCTTTCCTGAAGAACCTAACACCATAAACAGTGTTTTTCCCCCCATTGGTGATGCAACACTCAATTCATAGCCATTGGTAGAGCAAGAAACCAAGATCCTTAGAACAGTGGCCCCCAACCCTTTGGGCACTAGGGACTGGTTCCGTGAAGAGAGTTTTTTTCACGGACTGGAGGGGGCATGGTTTTACGTGCTGCCTGCATCCCGCGGATGGAACTTCGCTTGTTTGTGCGGCCCGGTTGCTGGCATGCCCAGCCCAATGCTGGTTCACAGACCAGGGGTTGGGGACCCTTGCTTTAGTAGATTAAAACTGGAATCTGGTGGTTCTCTTTTCCTAATCCTGCAGCATACTTTTTTTTTTTTGTTTCATAAAGCCTTTCCAAAAAGAGTGTAATGCACCAAAAGAGAAGAATTATTATAAATAAATTTAAAAGAGAATTTATTGGCAGGAAGGCAAATCAGGAGGTAATCTAATGGTTGCAAATACTATTTCTGTCTTCCAGAAAATAGGTTATTTCTAAAATGGGCAAAATAAATCTTTGTTGAGGATTGAACCCTCACATATATACAATATGGAATATTGATCTTGTACTACTTGTATTCTGATCCAGCATGAAGCATTAGTTCAGTGAGCTAAGCACTCCAGAGCTTAGTCAGTTAAAAATCTAATATTGAAGCAGTTTCTCTAAATTGAACAAGATTCTAGTGTCTGGTTAACTTTCAACTATGTTTAGTTTGGAAGAGAAGGATTAGAAGGATTAAATCAGTACAACACTTCTTTCTATTAGCAATTTAGCAATTGTTCTTCTTTGCCCGTATTCTGTTAAATTGGTTAAATTCCTGAATTAAAGACTATTAGTGGTAGGTTACTGTTCTTGAAAGAATGTGTGTGAGAGAGAAAGAAACAATGCCCACCATTTTTATTTTATTTTTTGCTTTGAGGGCCTCAATTTACTCCTGCAATCAACTGGGGAAGCCATATCTGATGTCACTAAAAGGATATAGCTGGGTTTATTTTTTATTTTTACTTTAGTGGGAGATCTGTGGAGAAGAGAAAACAGAAAGTAAATAGTTTTGGAGGCAAACTGCTCACATTTATAATTTCTTCCAGTGGCTCAGAATTGTGTTACCAATGTTGAGCATCACAATGGCCAAATCTTGGCCTTGTAATTTTTTGGGGTTTTGGGGAAGAATAAGAGGGTTATAAAAATGGAAATGTGTCTTCCAGAAGACTCCAGTCCTAATCCCACCCAAGAAAAAAATAATATTACCCCAAATGGCCTATATTTTGTTGAATGTGGCTGGCATAATACTGGAAATCACATGCAGTCAGGAACTGCCTGCTGGTTATGCCAACTGTTTTTATAGCACACGTGGCAGAAGCGGCACTCAGAGCCTTCTCTGTGGGCACGGACGCTGTTGCCCCAGCAGTGTTCACCAGAGTAGTGAGCATGTGGCGTTTGGAAGGGCAAGAAGTGAGTGAGCAAGTGGGGTTGGCCCCCCGGGGATGCCACGCTCACCCAGTCTGCTGTGACCACTGCTGCCATGCCACCCAGTGGCCCCCCCCCCGAGGGCACCACAATGCTGAGGCAGCCTTGGCACTTTGCAATAAATAAGTGGGTTTTGGGTTACAGTTTGGGCACTCAGTCTCTAAAAGGTTCGCCATCACTGCTTTATCTGGTTCTTTTGATACAGCAAACTTCCAGTTGCTGTAAAACTTTTTAAAAGAATGGATTTGATTCCAGATATCCCGACACATTATTTAAAACTAATTTTTTTTAATTGCTTCTTCGGGTGCCATTTTTCTCAAGCAGACATAGCCCATAATTCTACAAAGCAGCATATATTATTAATATAATTGACAAAACAAGATATTTGAAACAGGATAAAGTTGCAATTAAGTGCTGTTCTATCAGGAGGATATTATGGTAGAAATCAGGGCACTATTATGGTAGAAATTTGATTCTTCCTCTTGGCCTCTTACACCATTGGTGGCAACTAAACCATGTGCATTTCTGAACAATGCAGATCTTAAAGTCCCATCAAATTCTTTCTTCCATAGCTTAAAGAAAAACAAGCTAACTTGTCAAATTGCAACACTACTGGAAATGGCTCATTACTGCAACAGTCTAGCAAGGTATCTTCAGGAGATAATATTCTGGTAAGCACCCATCTTGTTTGGCATAGTGGCTAGGGCCTCAGCCTAGAAACAAGGAGATTGTGAGTTTGCCTGCTTTAGGAAACAAACCTGCTGGATAACCTTAAGCAAGTCATTCTCTCAGCCCTAGGGAGGAGGCGATAGCAAACTATTTTCAAATATCTTGCCAAAAAAACTGCAGAGACTGGTTCAGCAGGAGTCAAAAACTGATTCCAAGATAATTAAAAAAAAAGGCCTATCTAGCCAAGATGACATTTTGCCCAATGGTATTTAATCCTAGATATATGGATATAGAATTGAGGCTCTCAAAGCATTCTGCTTCTTGCTGTTGGATTTTGCTTCACTAAAAGTTGTTTAGTTTTCAAATGAAACTGGTCTTCTGGGAGTAAATCACTTGAGGTTTATTGATGCACTTCTGTGCTGCTTTTCAATGTTTTGTCCTGCAGTAAAACTGTACTTCACTGAGTTCTCCTTTGATAGGACAAGTTTTTGATATCACAGTGAAAGACTTACTGCAAAGGTTTGAATAATGACATAGAGTGTGCAACAGAGTCACTTTTCCTTAAGAGATTTCTGATCGTTTTCTGAAATTGTCTGTTTTGCTCCTCATTTTAAGGGCAAACCTAATAGTATTTTCTTCTGCTTTCCATTTTATGTCATGTTGTTATACTTGTAGGATCAACCAGATGCTGTCTTAGATTCTTATGAAGTGTCTTCTGAGAGTGAACAAATTAGCCGCTTTCCAAAACCTGAAATGGAAATTCAGTTTTCACCTTTGCAGCCCAACAAGATGGAAGTAAAGCATCAAGGAAGTCCTTCTACAGTGACTCTTAAGGTACCCAGGACAAGGAAAAGGAAGAGCTGCACTATGGATGAGGTACAAAGTTTGGAAGAAAGCAAATATTCTTAGTGTTTCTTATACACTTCTCAAAATAGTACTTCTGAAAGAAATCTAAAAAGTTGATTATTAAATCACCAAAGGATGTAATCCCAAGCTAAAGAATAAGTCCCATTGGATTCAGTAAGACACACTTCCTTATAAATGTACAATTAGTTATGATTTCTTAATGATTTGGCTTGTACAGTTGAATATGGTTTTTTAAGGAATTGGATGCATCTAGTTCTATGTTTATAATCTAGGCTAGTGTGTCTCAACCTTGGCAACTTTAAGATGTGTGGACTTCAACTCTCAGAATTGAAGTTGAAGTCCACGCGTCTTAAAGTTGCAAAGGTTGAGAAATATTGATCTAGGTAGGCAGTTGCTTTGTGCTAAATGAAGGTACACCTTACTTTAACTGTTGGCAAGAAAATAATAGGAATATGTCCATGAAGCCACCAGGGTTTGGGCTCAAATCAAAAGACCTTTTTTTTTAACAACCTGCACTAATATTTATATAAGTAGTAGTTGTTTTGTTTAATTTATTTGGGGAAAAAACAGGTTCTAGCCTGAAAACATGGAGCCAGTTTATCACAAGTCTCTTTTTTAACTAATGTGTACTTATGATGTACAAGCCTGAACATCAAGCGTGTCTCTTTCCCCTTAAAAAACCCCCAGAAAATTCCACTCCAGAGAATCTGAATGTGCAGCTAAGATTTCACTTTGATCAGTGCCCTCAAATGTTAACATCATTTCTTAACTGTCAATACTATTTTTCTTTCAAAAGTCGCATTTCTAAAAGGGACTGTTTAACTTCAGGTGTGAAATTTTATATGAATACTTAGAGGTGACTACATGGAAAAATAACTTTGTCTTCTCAACTGTGCTTCCTTCAAGAATAATATGCTGTCAGGTTTCTGGAAAGACAAACTTAGAAATAAGGACATTTCTGATCTGAGTCAGGTACTGAATCCCTTTAAGCTTTACATGGTAGATAAACAAGTACAAGTAGATAACAATACTTTAATTCAGGGGTCCCCAACCCCCGGGCATGGCCCATTACTCGGCCACGGCCTATTCGGAAATGGGTCACGTAAGCAGGGGGCCAGTACATGTATACAGCTCAGCTTGTGCAAGCGGCTGGCCAGGCCATGCACATTGCTCAACTTGTGCAAATCGAGCCGTGCGTGCATGCACATGTATGCTGGCCCACTTCTCACTTAAACTGGTTCCCTTCTCCCTCCCCCAAGCTGGCCCGCCAAATCACAAAGATTGGGGACTGCTGCTTTAATCCTTCTTCACATTTCACCCAAATACCACGTTTATATTATAACAATTATCACAGCTGATCTTTCATCTACTATTTCTTACCATCTCTTGTAATCAAACCTGCTTTTTCAATATACAATAAAACTTCAATTTAACAGACCATTTTGAGGAGAAAAGGGTATCCATTAAGTTGAATACCCATTATATTTGAATTTTTGTATTAAAACTAAGTCACATCATTTTATGTCAATTTATAGCATTTGCTTAAATGTATAAGTGAAAATAGACACAAATAACGTATTTTTATAAATAATCTTTATTATTTTGGAAAAAATGTTCATTGTTTAAGGGTAAAACTAAGCAAAATTTTGTTTACAGTATATCAAGTCCACTGAATTATAATCTGTGAATTGAGGTTTTACTGTCTCTGTCTTTTGATCAGAACTGTTGCTTCCTAGCTGAAATCTGCCACTATTTCTTCATATCCAATAATACTTTTGTGAGATGGTAATCATGTCGGTTTGAAAATAAATTTCATTTGAACAGGTTTTATTTTACTGCTTTAATAAAAAGAAGAAAAAACAAAATTGGTCACATATACATTCATTGAAAGATTTTTTCCCCCTAAATGTTAAAAGGTATAAATGTAAGGACCCACCCCACTTTGCATCTTAAGAAGACAGAACTCTTGGAATAATTCTTCCAACAGGCATCCTTTATTAAGAGAAAATGGTTGCAGGCGTTTTAGACAGGACTTGGGGTCCAAGCTCTCCCATTCAAGGTTTTAAGGGGTTCCCCAGTAGCCCCACCCAATCACCCCCCTCTTCCAGCGACAGTCTCAGGCATTACACTCCCACCCCCTTTTCCTTACTGCCGGCTGGATGGAGACTTCAAAGAAAACTACATGAAAGGTAATAGCCCCATTCTTATGGTTAGTCCTTTTGGTGATACACACATCCAGTTCCTTTCTTCAGAGAAAACTACATAAAAGGTAATAGCCCCATTGTTATGGTTAGTTCTTTGGGCGATACACATATCCAATTCCTTTGAAGTGTACCGAAGGAAGTGAGGGCCATAAAGCCCCTTTGTTCACCCCCTTCCCTTCATCGTATGACAGAATCCATAGAAAGCAGAAATGGAATTTTTTTATAATTGATAACTAGAGATGAAATATAATTGGATTCTGACATCCTGCCCCTCAAAAATATGACAGATCCACCTGAAGGAAAACAAAACAGGTATAAAAGTTAGTCAGGCTTGTTAGGGTATTCTGTGTGAAACTTCTTTAATAGCTTCGGGGCTCTGACATGACGTTTATGGACCCACTCGTTTTGTGAGGGAGGGAGGTGTTTCCAGGCAACTAGGTACTGAGTCGCTCCATGATATCTCTTAGAGTCAAGGATTTCCTTTATTTCGAAGTGTTGTTCGTCCTCCACCATGATTGGAGGTGGTGGTGGGGGGGATTTTTGGCCGTAGAGGTGACTGACGCTCTCTTTTCAGCAAGCTGCAATGAAAAAATGGGTGTATTTGCCTGAGATTTTTGGGTAATTCTAATTCTACTGTTACTGGGTTTATGATTCTTTTAATTGGAAAAGGCCCTATATATTTTGGTCCAAGTTTTTTACAGGGCGGTAGGGACTTTAGGTATTTTATAGATAAGTACACCATTTCTCCTATAATGAATGGTGTAGGCTCAACCCTTTTTTTATCGGCTTGTGCTTTGTATGCCTGCCTAGCTTCATCTAGTGCTTTTCTAACTATTGGCCAGGTGTCTTGTAATTGTTCCATCCATTCTTTCAGTGATGGGATCGTTGGTTTGTTTGGGGTTAATTCTGGCATGGGGTTGAAACTTTGACCGTTGGCTATTTGAAAAGGAGTGTAGCCTGTGCTGGAGTGGACTGCATTATTGTAGGCAACTTCTGCAAAAGGGAGTAAGTCCGTCCAATCACTTTGTTGGAAATTCAAAAAACATCTCAAATATTGCTCAAGTACTGAATGACAACGTTCTGTTTGTCCATCTGTCTGAGGGTGATGGCTAGATGTCAGTCCCTGAGTGGTCCCCAAGAGGGATAAAAATTCCTTCCAAAATGCAGACGTAAATTGCACTCCCCTATCAGAGATGATGCGTTGGGGTGCCCCGTGCAATCTGTAAATGTGCTGGACGAAAAGTTTTGCTAAGGTCTTTGCAGTGGGAATCTTTCAGCAAGGGATAAAGTGCACCTGTTTGGAAAACAAGTCCGTGACCGTCCAGACAACCGTATTCCCATTACTTTCTGGCAATTCCACTATAAAATCCATGGCTATTTCCTTCCAGGGGGCTGAGGGATTTGCCACTGGTTGTAATAGTCCTGGCGATTTCCCTTGCAACCTCTTTGCAGTCGCACATTTTGGGCAGCTGGCTACATAACTTTCTATGTCCTTTTTTATTGATGGCCACCAAAATTGCTGTTTAATTAAGTGTAAAGTTTTTACAAATTCAAAATGCCCTGCTGATTTTGTGTCATGGCAAAGCTGCATGAAAGTGACTCTTTGGGTTGTTGGTATATATAACTTTTCCCCTACCCAAGGCAACCTGTCTCTCATTGTGCACACATTTTTGTTTTTCTGGAACCATTCATCTGTTTCTAAACTTTTTCGGAATTCAATTCCAGTTTGGCTGTCCAGTTGTGGTTTTAATTTAGCTTGGGTTCTTGTGGTTATTGGTGCTGCCAGTTGTGACTTTGCCATTATTGGGTTAGAGTCTGTGGTTCGTGTGCTGTTATATTGGGGCATACGAGATAGTGCATCTTCCAGGAAGTTCTTTTTCCCTGGTAAATGTTTGAGCTTAAATTGGAACTGTTGAAAATGCTGGGACCAGCGGGCTTGTTTGGGATTGAGTTTCCTGGGCGCTTTCAGGGCTTCCAAATTTTTGTGATCAGTCCACACCTGGAAGGGGATTTTGTTGCCTTCCAGGAACTGTTGCCACGTGAGTAATGCCCAACGTATCCCGTATGCCTCCTTCTCCCATACGGGCCAGCGTTGTTCTGTTTCCGTGAGTTTCTTGGATGTATATGCACAGGATTGCAATACTCCATCATCGTTTTCTTGTAATAGAACAGCCCCCACTGCCACATCACTTGCATCTGCCTGTATTACGAAGGGCTTATCCATGTCTGGGTGCCTTAGTACTGGTTTGGCAGAAAAAAGTCTCTTTAGTCTCTCAAACGCTGCTTGGCACTCCATTGTCCATGTTAGTGGCTGGCTAGGTTTTACTGCGGATGCTCTCTTCATTTTTAGTAAGTTAGTGAGGGGCAAGGCTATCTGGGCAAATGAGGGGATGAATTGGCGGTAAAAGTTTGCGAACCCCAGGAAACTTTGTAGTTGCTTTCTTGTGCAGGGTGGTGCCCAATCTAATACTGCTCTGACCTTCTCTGGGTCCATTTCAATGCGCTGGGAGGATATGCGATAACCTAGATAGTCTATCCTTTCCTGGTGGAATTCGCATTTTGAGAGTTTGGCATATAGGTGGGCGGCTCGCAGTTTCTTTAAAACTGCTCTAACTAGGTTGACATGTTCCTCTTTTGTTTCGGTGAAGATAAGAATGTCGTCCAAGTAAACAAGGACCCCCTTAAACAGGTGCTCCCTTAGAACGTCATTGATTAATTGCATAAAGACTGCAGGGCCCCCTTGTAATCCAAATGGCAAGACTTTGAATTGATAGCACCCCATGGGGCAGTTAAATGCGGTCTTCCATTCATCCCCTTCCTTAATTCTCACGCGATAGTAAGCTTCCCTTAGGTCTAGTTTAGAAAAATTTTTCCCTTTCGAGAGGTGTGACAGCATGTCTTTCATGAGGGGCAGAGGGTATAGGTTGCTTTCACTGATTGTATTCAGGGCCCTATAATCCACGCATAAGCGTAAAGAACCATCCTTCTCTCTAAAAAGGACTGGGGCAGCCACTTTAGGCTTGGCTGGCTCAATGAAACCTCTCTCTAGGTTTTTTTTTATGAATCTTTCTATTTCCTCCTTGTCCTTTGGGCTCATGGAGTATAATCTGGGCTTCGGGAGTTTTGCCCCCGGCTTAAACTCAATGGTACAGTCTGGGGGTCGGGGGGGGGGGAGCTCATCCGCCCTCTCCTCACTGAAAACTTCAGCAAGGTCTCTGTATTCCTCTGGTATTTCTGTTAGTCCCTTTTCCTCTCCCATGGATGCTTTTTCTATTCTTGATTCTGGTAGCCCCCCTTGGGGTTTTAAGTCCATAGGGGCCCCCTTCGGGAATTTGATTTCTGTCGTCCTCCAATTTACCCAGGGCTTCCATTTTTTTAACCATTCCATCCCTAGGATCATTGGGCATTCCATGCCTGGGGTCACCACAAACGTTATGTCCTCCTCATGTTTGCCCAGGGAGAGGTGTATTGGTAGAGTGGCTAGGGTAGCTGGCACCCCTCCTGCTATGGATCCATCTAACTGGCCAAATCAGATTGGTTGTTCCAGTCTCCTCGATGGAATGTCCAGATTCCCCACTAGTGTCAGGCTAATGAGGCAGCGGGTGCAGCCAGAGTCTATTAAGGCTTTCACCTTCACGGCTTCGGGCATGGGGGGAATTAATATAGTCACTGTCTTGAGGATGGGTGCGATGCGTCCACTTACAGGGGTTCGCCCTCCGAGCTGTCATCTGAGGCGTCCACTGGTCCTGCGGTGTAGGCTGGAGTTCTTTCCCCCCTGATGAGCAGAAGTGGGGGGTTCTGCAATTTCCATTATTCTCATGGCAGTTTCTTTTGGCTTAGCTGAAGACTTTCCGGATTTGCTGATTGGGGATCTGTCTGGGTTGTGCTGGGGGGCTTTGGAGTGGCATTCTACAGCTCGATGCCCTTCTCTTCTGCACTTGAAACACCCCATTTGCTTCTTGGCTGTAGCCGATGGTTTCACTGGTTCGTGTGTCAACTCAGGTGGGAAGCAGCTCCATTGTTTTCCTCGGCAGTGTCTCTTCAATATGTCGATCTCTGCTTCCTCTGCCAAGATGTACCATTCCTCAAGTTGGTGTGGGTCCTCTTGGGGCAGGCAAGCGTCATAGAGGTCATAATTCAGTCCGTCTTTGAAATGGCTAAGAAGGATGTCTTCTGGCCAGTTCAGTTTGTTGGCAATGGCCCGGAATTCTTGTGTATATTCAGCCACTGGGCGTTTGCCTTGCCTCATCGTTTTTATCCTTTTGCGGGCTTTGCGATCAGCCAGGGGGTCTTCAAATCGTCTTCTCAGAGAGGACATGAAACGGTTGAAGTCGCTGAGTTCTGGGGCATTGGAGTCGTGCAAGTTCACCACCCAATCTGCAGCCGGTCCGTCCAGGGCAGATTGCACGATCCGGATGCGGGCTTTGTCGCTGGGGATGTCCCGCCCGTATTCCTCCATGTAGCTGAGGACTTGGGTTAGGAAAAACCCCAAGCGTGTTGGCTCCCCTTTGAATTTCACCTCCAACGGCGGACGTCTTGGAATGGATCAGTGTCTCCGCTGTTGGTAGTAGTGTCTTCCGTCCAGATCGCCATCTGTGGTTCGGTAGGGGGTGCGGACTACTGGATCAGCAGATGTCCCCAGGGTTGCAGGTTCCACTTCTCCCTCGGTGTCTCTCCCTTTGAGGCTCCAGGAGCTGAGGCGGCTGTAGGGCTCAGGATTCTCCTGTCCTAGGGAACTGAGAATTCTCTTCATCAGGTCAATAGCTTTCTCTAGGATCCAGTCTGAGTACAGTGCCCAGCTTCCTTCCTCTTCACTTGCGTGCAGGGATTTCTCCATCTCCTGCTTCCATTCTGGTTTGTTGGCCCCCCGTCTCAGGGTCACCTTTCTTGATTTCTTTTCCCACTCGCCTTTCTTTCCCACGCCCATTGACCAGCGAGGCTTGTGGTCCTGTGTCTCCATCACTTCTTCTCCTGAGGAATCTGACCTCTCGGATCCCAACATCTGGCAAGGTTCCAGTTGGGGCAGTGGCTCTCTTTCCAGGGAGTTTTCCCCTTTTCTTGCTCCATTGTCTGACATGGTAAATTTTTGCAAAATCCCCTGGCAAGGGTCTCCCTTCCAGGTGGATTAATTTGGCAAGTCTTGTCTAATGTAAGGGCCCACCCCACTTTGCATCTTAAGAAGACAGAACTCTTGGAATAATTCTTCCAACAGGCATCCTTTATTAAGAAGAAGTGGTTGCAGGCGTTTTAGACAGGACTTGGGGTCCAAGCTCTCCCATTCAAGGTTTTAAGGGGTTCCCCAGTAGCTCCACCCAATCACCCTCCTCTTCCAGCGACAGTCTCAGGCATTACACTCCCACCCCTTTTTCCTTATTGCCGGCTGGATGGAGACTTCAAAGAAAACTACATGAAAGTTAATAGCCCCATTCTTATGGTTAGTCCTTTTGGTGATACACACATCCAGTTCCTGTCTTCAGAGAAAACTACATAAAAGGTAATAGCCCCATTGTTATGGATAGTTCTTTTGGCGATACACACATCCAGTTCCTTTGAAGTGTACCGAAGGAAGTGAGGGCCATAAAGCCCCTTTGTTCACCCCTTTCCCTTCATCGTATGACAGAATCCATAGAAAGCAGAAATGGTTTTTTTTATAATTGATAACTAGAGATGAAATATAATTGGATTCTGACAATAACCTTATTTCATTTGAGGCCACAATATTATCTTAATAAGAACCGAATACCTTATCAAAGACATATTTATACAGGTATCCCTTGTTAAGCAATTGTCTCAGATAGCAACTGTTCACAAATATGATGGTAGAAAACGATAATTAAAAAAATCATTTTCTAACCAATGTGCTCCTTTATTATACAAAAGTCCTCAGTGTGAAACTGATTAAAGTCTGGTCAGTTTCAGGCAGTAGCAGCCACCCACCAAACGGTTCTAAGCAACTAATTAAGGTCCCAGAGCTTGATAACCTTCCTTCCTTCATGTCAGCTTAGATTTAAAAGAAAAAAAATAGTTTATTACATGAATAATGTAATAGGAATAAGAAAATTAGGGCACCATTTATAGTATAATAAATCTATGTATGGTTCTTTCCCCCTCCTCTTCCCCCCCTCCCCCCCGTAGCCCTCATTCCTCAGTAGTCTTCTGGCACAAAATACAAGGGCAAGTTGGTCCCAGCCAGCAGGGAATAAATTATTCTGTTCTGTTCCGTTCCGTTCCATTCCATTCATCTACATGAAACCGCTGGGTGAGATCATTCGGCGACACGGGGTGAGGTATCATCAGTATGCGGATGATACCCAATTGTATATCTCCACCCCGTGTCCTTTCAGTGAAGCAGTCGATGTGATGTACCGGTGCCTGGAAGATGTGAGTGTCTGGATGGGGGTGAACAGGCTTATAGACTCTACCCTGGCAAGACCGAGTGGCTCTGTGTCTTGCCCCCCAAGGGTCATCCTGATGGTCCATCATTAGTCCTGGGGGGGGGTAAATTTACCTCCCTCAGTGCAGGCACGCAACTTGGGTGTCCTCCTGGACTCACAGCTAAATTTGGAACAACATCTATCGGCTGTGGCAAGGGGGACCTTTGCCCAGGTTCGCCTGGTGCACCAGTTGCAGTCTTATTTGGACCGGGAGGCTCTACTTACGGTTACTCATGCCCTTGTCACCTCAAGACTGGATTACTGTAATGCGCTCTACATGGGGTTACCCTTGAAGAGCGTTCAGAGGCTGCAGTTGGTTCAGAATGCAACCGCGAGAGCGATTGTGGGTGCACCAAGGTACACCCATGTGTCACCTATCCTCTGTGAGCTGCACTGGCTTCCTGTGGGTCTCCGGATGCAATTCAAGGTGTTGGTTATCACCTTTAAAGCCCTTCATGGCTTAGGACCAGGTTACTTACAGGACCGCATAGTTCCCAGAGACCGGTGAGGTCCCACAGATTGGGCCTCCTTCAGGACCCGTCGGCCAGACAATGTCGGATGGCGGGCCCTCGGGGAAGGGCCTTTTCTGTGATGGCTCCGACGTGGTGGAATCAACTTCTCCCCCGAGATTCGAACTACTCCCACCTTGCCGGCCTTCAAGAAAGCCATTAAAACTCTATCTATCTATCTATCTATCTATCTATCTATCTATCTATCTATCTATCTATCTATCTATCTATCTATCTATCTATCTATTTTTGTTAAATTTATTTGCCACCTATCTCACCATGGGCTATTTGCCTTCTCTAAATTCCTCTTTCTTTACTCCTTTACTCTTTCTCAGGATTTTACTCTCCTATCTTCTAGCACAGGGGTCCCCAACCTTTAGACCACAGGTCGGCAACCTGCGGCTCCGGAGCCGCATGCGGCTCTTTGAGCCTTCCCTGTGGCTCCCAGCCTCCTCTGCCTTTGCAGAGAGAGACAGAGACAGAGAGAGGCACTTGCGCTTCCCTGCTTTTTTCTCTCTCTCTCTCTCTGTGTGTGTGTGTGTGTGAGTGTGTGTGTGTGTGTGTGTGTGTGTGTGTGTGTGTAAAAGAGAGTGCACTCACAGTGTTCTCCGAGGAGCTGAAAAGCTTACTGGGCGGAGCTCCTCCCTTTGCAGGAAGCAGGAAGGGCAGGAGAGATCTAGCTAGCCCAACTAGGCTGACTCAGGAATTCTGGGAGTTGAAGTCCATGAGTCATAAAAGAGACGAGGTTGCTTACCCCTGAGCTTGTTGGACAACAGCTTGAAGCTTGCCAGGTGAGCAGCAGATAGGAGAGGGGGGGAGAGAGAGAGAGAGGAAGGGAGGGAGAGAGAGAGAGAGAGAGAAAAAGAAAGAGTGGAGGAAGAGGAGTGGCAGACCAAGGGCAGATAGAGAGGGAGGGAGGGAGGGAGAGAGAGACCCTTTTGAGATCTAAAATGAAGATAACACTGGATATATCCTTTTTTTACCTGTGTGTGTATGTAATTTTATTCTCTTAAAGCATTCTCTTGGTGATCATTGTTTTAATAGTATGGATATTCCCAAGAGTCATATTTTTACTTTTATTTTTAATGTGTGTGTATGTATGTGTGTGTGTGTGTGTGTGTGTGTGTGTGTGTGTGTGTGTGTGTGTGTGTATGAAGAGTTTATCTTCATTTGGAAGCATGTTTCTTTCATATTCTTGGGTTAAACAGTACGGAGTTAATACTGAACAGGACAGAATTATAAATGTGCCCAAAATACAGTTGGTAGTATCCTTCTTCCTTGACTGAAGTTCCTGGAGGTTATAACATCTAGAAAAGCACAGATTGCTCTGTCCCTGGTGGAATAATTCATGATTATTGGAAAATTGCCTTGGAATTAATTTGAATTTAAGATGAACCATAGCAAATATATAATGAGATGTAAATGCCTTCCCATGAGATCTCATAAGAGTTTGGCTTTTAAAAAATGTTATTTTTTTAATGTCTGTGATAACATACTTCGTTAAATCTGTGAAAAGACTGGCAGTCTTGGTTAAAGCTGTCCCATTTCCCACTAAGAAATATTTAACAAGTCAATATGGAGACTGTAGCTCAGTACTAAACACATCTTTCTCTTTCTAAGGACTCCTTGGAAAATGAAAATGAAAAGAATGTAAAATTGCCAGCTAATATGAATGTATGGTCTGATTCATTAAGGAGACAAGGAAAAAAGGTATGCTAGTTAATAACTTTAATATAGTGCTGCTGCAGTAGTCTGACATGGAATAACTTTATTTTGATGATATAATAATGTAATTATTATATTGCATACTTTCCTGATTTGAGCAATTATGTAAAGCACATATTCTGTTATATTGCAGATAAAAAGGAGATAAATTATCAAGGGCACTAGCTTGCCTTAGACCAGTGTAAAGAGCTCTTCCTTTTCTTCTAGCAAATAATTATCTTTTTCTCCTCTCCAAAGTACACATGCAAGGTACTTTAAAGTACTTTTTATTAACCTATGAACACCCAATCTTCATTATCTAAGCCTTTAACCTACTTAAGGGGTGTCAAACTGCTGGCCCACGGGCCGGATGCATCATAGCAAAACTGCACCTACCCCATTGCCAGCAATGGAAAAAAAGTTGCGATACGTCACGACACATCACATGACATTGCAAGGTTGACACCCCTGGCCTATTTGCATGGTCAGCCTACTTCAACTTTTATGACCATCAGATGTTTGGACTTTCTGAGAATTCACTCACCAGTAAAGCCCTTGCTGAGAATTTTGGGCCACGAAATCCAGATATCTGGAGACTTGCTCAGATTGGATAAAGCTGAGCAAGCAGCAGCTGGAAACCTTCTAGATTCTAGCCAAAGTGGAGCTACTAAGAAATAAGACAAGGACTGCACAAATGAACCCCTATGCTTTTGACTAGGGATATGTAAGACATTGGAAATATGTGTGAGAACTAAGTTCCATATCTAATGTTCAAACATGGTAATCTGATGCAGGTATACTTTTTATAAAGGGCAATACAACTTAGCAAATGTTTTATTTAGCAAATATATTTAAAATGTTTTAAATATATGTTTTATTGTTTTCTATTGCTTTAGACTGCTCCTCCTAATCCCTCTGTCAGAAAGAATTATTCCTTAAGAAATAAACATGCATCAAATATAAAATCCACAGCATCCCCAGGTGGAACCCTACAAAAATTTGGCAATCTCTTGCAGAATTCTCCTACAATCATACAAACTAAAGGTAAGCAGCTAAACAAAGAAGCCTATTCCATTAATATGAAACAGTTATGAGATATTTCTGTTGTTCCATCTGGAACGCTGCATATTTTAAAAGGGACAGTTGGTATTTAAACTACAGAGCAGAAGAAATCCATTTTGGGCATTGCTTTTTGTGTTCTTAGATATATATGTGTGTGTGTGTGTATATATATATATATATATATATATATATATATGTATGTATGTATGTATGTATGTATGTATGTATGTATGTATATGTATATGTAGGTCTTTGGTTGTTCGGGTTTTCTCCCGTGTAAAATTGGAAGTGTCTTGGCGACGTTTCGACGAAGTCCCATTCGTCATCTTCAGGCTGGTGTTTTCAGCTTCGTGCTTTGAGCAGCAATGTGTGGTCTTAGCTGGTTCTTCCTTTTAACTGCCAGTGGGGGTATGAACTGATTGGGTGGGAGCTTGGCTGTGTTCTGATTGGGTGGAGGTGTGTTATGAATGGTTAGGGGCTTGGCTGTGCTCTGATGGCTGGGGGAGTGTTCTGTTTGGTTGTGCTCAGGTTAGTCTGAGTTGCAGAGGGGTTTGAGATTTTGGGCTGCCTTCTTATTTTTTGGCTTCGCGTTCGTGGTCGTGCTTCTTCTTCATGGAGGGTGTCAGTTTGCTTCATGTATGGATTGGAGGGGTTTTTCCAATTTTACGCGGGAGAAAACCCGAACAACCAAAGACCTACATACAAATACCCGCGAAAACCTCAGAAAACATATATATATATACATATATATACATATCAGAGCACAGCCAACCCCCCAGCCAATCAGAGCACAGCCACGCCCCTAACCAATCAGAACACACCTCCACCCAATCAGAACACAGCAAGCTCCCACCCAATCAGTTCATACCCCCACTGGCAGTTAAAAGGAAGAAACAGCTAAGACCACACATTGCTGCTCGAAGCACGAAGCTGAAAACACCAGCCTGAAGATGACGAATGGGACTTCGTCGAAACGTCGCCAAGACACTTCCAATTTTACGCGGGAGAAAACCCGAGCAAGACCTACATATATACATATATATATATATATATATATATATATATATATATACATACATACATACATATATATATATACATACATATATATACATACATACATACATACATACATACATACATACATACATATATATATATATATATATGGTTAATAATGCTAAAAATATGAACCCTGGGAGTATTCATATCGAGAAATAAAATGAACACCAGGGTAGTAAAACTATAAAAGTTTAATTAAAAAGCACCAAGCTTTCGCCGTCCCTGCCGGCATCATCAGGGCTAGAGCACCAGAAAGTGTGAGAGTTTTTTATAGGCAAGTCAGAGTCTGCGCCCGGCTCCTCGATCTCGTCACCGGGCCTAATTGATTCAACTGCGCTTGATTGGTTTGTTTCTTCCTATTCCTCTTAGTTACGTGTGCGTTGTCGTCTCTCCTCCTTTCTTTCGATTCTGGGATGGGTGGGATAACTCCCCTACTGTTCAAATGATCTCTGTTCTTCAACCCATCCTCCCCATCAGGTTTGAGTGGTAATGTACACTTCCCCTTCCTTTCCCAATTGGTGGACGAGCGGATGATATATTAAGTGCTGGAGGGACATTGAAACTGTAATTTAATTAGTCTCAGCCTTACCTCATTTAGAGATAGGTCTTTAAATGAAATACTTGTCTTTCCTGAAATGATGGCCTCTAGAAAACTGTAAAATACTTCAACAAGTTGTCTTTTGAGTTTGAATCAGCTGTTCCAAAATTACTGGAAATCTTCCAATGCTGCCTTAACAATTTTGGAAGTGTCAAAATAGCCTTATTTTGAATTCAAAACAGGGTCATTTTGACTTTAGACTCTTCCAGAAGGTTTCAGACTCTTTGAAAGAAAGGTTGGTTTTGAGCTTGAACAATTTTAAGTCCAGAATCTTTGCACTCCTCTTAGAAGCTTTTGTAAACCTTAAAATATGGTGTGATAAATTGTTGATCTAAGACAAGGATGATCCAAATTCAAATTCTTACTTGGGCATGACAGTTATAAAATCACCATTGCTCTCTGTGTCATAAATTTGCTTAGGATAAAATGAGCCTGAGAATAAAAAGTATATTAACCATATTAAAGAAAATGTGCTGGACTGCATGTACATAATGGAATGTACATGCAATTATTTATAATGATAAGCATAAGGAGGGTAGAAAATGCAGTTGGGTGGGAGTGAATCAGTAATGCTCAACATAAAACTATGAGGGGCAGAGTGCACAAATTACGTATTGGCCATTTGTCATCTTCCAATTGTGCTGGACTTTAAATCTTTAACTGCCATTTTGGTAAATGACATAACTCTCTCTCTCTCTCTCTCTCTCTCTCTCTCTCTCTCTCTCTCTCTCTCTCTCTCTCCCTCCCTCCCTCCCTCCCTCCCTCCCTCCCTCTCTCTCCCCCTCCCTCCCTCCCTCCCTCCTTTTTATCTCAGAGCTGTAATTATATTAAATACTACTGTATAGTGTAACATTGAAGTGCAATATTAGGGGCAGCGCAATGGTGAATAAAGTGAAGGATGTGTTTATATAATGTATGTTCTTATTTGTGTTTTTACTTGTGTGTAGTGTGCACTGTGCACCACTTAATTTCATGAGTTGCACAATGACAATAAAGATATTCCATTCTATTCCATTCCATTCCCTCTTTCCCTCCCCTGGCTGGGAAATTCTGGGAGGAGAAATCCACCTGTCATAAAGTTGCCAAGGTTCAGAAACACAGTTCCAAATCATTGCTTACAAGATTTTCATTTTTGTTGAATGAATTTCAGTTGTATGGATCATGGCTTTTAAAAAACAACTTCCAGGAGAAGAAAGGAAGAAATTTAATTGAGAAGCATTAGTCTTTAAACTTTTTTATTCACTGATGGTCTAAATCAGAGTCTTTCAGAAATCTCCATGTACTTCTTATGCAATGCTAGAGGTTTACAGAATGCAATCTGAAAACCCCCGGTCTAGATACAAACAGAGCAAGCAGTAAGATAGAATTGCACTGTTTTGAATAAAAGAGAACATTTCCTACTGTTCCCTTTCCAGCAAAGAAGCTGATGGCAACAATAAAATCTCCCAAATCTACTGATGAAGAAACTGTTACAAAAAATGATGACAAACCCAAGAAAGCTAAGCGAAAGCTACACTCAGTCAATATTTCTAATCCTGTTGAATTTTCTGGTCATGTGGTAAGTGATTCTACAAAGCATTTTGACCAACTCAGAGTGTATAGCCTTTTGAAAGCTGGGAATTGCACCTATTTTTGGAGGTGGGGGTGGGGGAACAGAGATGTTATAAAAAAGCTCATGACGCTCAGATCAAGATGAGGGCAGTGGTGGGATTTTCCATGTTTTTGTTTGGCAAGGGGGATAACTTTAATGTTTTGTACTTTAAAAGAAAACTACCATGTAGTCTTCAACTTACAACCACAATTGAGCCCAAAATTTCTGTTGCTAAGCGAGACAGTTGTTACGTGAGTTTTGCCCCATTTTACAACCTATCTTGCCACAGTTGTTAAGTGAATCATTTCAGTTTTTAAGACAGTAACACAGTTGTTAAGTGAATGGGACTTCCCCATTGCTTTTGCGTATCAGAAGGTTGCAAAAGGGATCACATAAATCCAGGACACTGCAACTGTCATAAATATGAGTCGATTGCAAATTGCCTGAATTTTGATCACATGACCATGGGGATGCCGCTATAGTTGTAAGTGTGAAAAATGGTCATAAGTCACTTTTTCAGTGCCATTGTAACTTTGAACAATCACTAAATGAAATGTTGTAATTTGAGGACTATCTCTATATTAAGTCAATTTTACAGTTTTCTCTGATGATGGATAGACATCATAGAATAGTGATGGCGAACCTTTTAGAGACCGAGTGCCCAAACCGCAATCCAAAACCCACTTATTTATCGCTTATGGGGAGGCGCCTCTGTGTGCCGCCTCTGGCATGCAAAAACCGGGGGCACAAAAATGGGCCACCGTGCTGCAAGGTGCAAAAACGGTCGTGCCATGGGGTACAGATACAAGGCGCTGCACCATGCAAGAACAGGGCAGGGCTAGTGAGTATCACACAGGCACTAGCCCCGCCCCATTTGCAGCACGTGTGTGCTTGCAGCCCCGTGCACACATGCATGCATGTAAATGCTTCCCCCTCCCTTTTCTTCCACTCCACCAATCGACAATGACCTCTGCTCTACCACCTCTACTCGAGCTTGCTAGTCAGCCGCTTCACCTCCTTTGTGCTGGGTGGGGCTCCTGCTCCGGGCGGCAGTAGTGGCCTGATGCACCTGCTGCTGGCAGCGATGGCGCGTGTGCCAACAGAGAGGGCTCTGAGTGCCGCCTCTGGTACGCGTACCATAGGTTCGCCACCACTGTCATAGAACATGATATTGGTATATTGTGTAGAGAGACAATATAGACTTGAGATATTTTCTGATTTTTCTATTATTATTTGCTTTCCTTAGAGGCTGCCTTGGCCCATCCAAGCCATCTCCTAGGAATATAACTGAAACAGATGCATTTTCTATTACATTCCGTGTCTGTTCTCCTTAACTCTCTCTCTATCTTTAAGTTTATTTTATATATGTAAGTTCCTCCCTCAACTAGTCCTCCCAAGGAAGTAGAACTCTTGAAACAGGCATTGTCTCAAAAGGAACTTTTATTGAGAGATATTGATAGCAAGAGAGCAAAGCATGATCTAAAGTTTCCCGTGCAAAACGTCACATTAAACCATCCCCTTCCCAAACCCCATCTCAATGGCCAAATGTCCAGTTTGAGATCATCCAGTCCCCAGGTGCAAAGTTGTTGTGGGAACCAAAGTAATAAGCGCCGTTCTAGGTGCCATTCCTGGGGTTTCATTTCTCTCTCAATGTCCCCCCATCGAAATAGAGATAAGGCAGGTGACTCATGGCACATTCCTTCTTCCGTTCACACCCAGAGGCATCAAAGGGGTAATGAACAAAGTGGAGGAAATCCAGAACCCCCCTCCCCCCCTTCCCAGCAGACTAGCAGGCCCGGCAGTTAATGGCCATCCTCCCCCTCCCAGCAGAATGACAGACTGAAAAGCAGAACAAAGAAGCAGATTGAAAGATATAAATGCTGAGGGTCTGACAACATGCGTCTACTTTAATTGAAATCTGTACCATCCAGTGGGTTTGCCAAAGTAAATGTGCATAAGGTGATAGGCTTAATTTTTATCTTTAATAATAGGATTTCAGCAAAATCAGCATTTTCCACTTCTGTCTTGAAGCTTAGTCTTGACTGCCTTCAAAGCTGATGACAGTCATTATTTTGGCTTGAATAAGATGTATTGATTGTATATTAGTTATTCAATAAACCTTAAGCTTACATCCTGCCCCACTTCTCAACTGCAAGATTAACACAAAAATCAAAATCTGATATGGATCAGCCAGAATGCAGCATTATATCCAAATTAAAAGTAAACTGCTTAATCATAAAGCCGAGAAGAGCAAGCAATGTTCATTACCTGTTTTGGATTTAGCTTGTTTTTACTACCTTTAGGTGAGATTAGTGACAATTTATCTTGGTTTAGAGGCTTTATTGATTCCAGTATCCAAATATGTCTTATAGCTGTGCTGGAGGAGGTCACATATGTTTCTGGTTTGTTCAAGGTACAAATAGAACAGATATTAATCACCCAATTAAACCATTGGTAAATGTTTCATAGCAACTGAATTATCTCAATCTTTAACTATGTTTTGTTGAAACAAAGTCCTAAGTTAGTTTGCACGTAATGCTAAACCATAAACCGTGGGTCAAGTAAATTGTCAAATGGGAAACACCATCATACAATAATAAATGAAACTATAAACATCTAAAAATAAGATGGTCAGAGTTCTGAGGCATATAACTTTTCCTTGACCATGTGGGACTTTTTTTGTCTTTTTAGATAATATTGAGAGTCAGCAAGTATAACCTAAGGATATTCTTAACAGAAAACCAAAATACATTATTGCTTAGCATTTGGTACTAAAAGCATTTTTTTTATTTTATTCAAGGTCTGTTGTTAGTCATCTAAGAGTCATGAATTCAGATTGCTAAGCAGCCTTAAGAGATTATAGTCTAAAATACGGTAGTAATGTCTTTTCCACATCATTTGGCTTCTAGTTGGACAAGTAATGAACACTGGATTATTTTTTTACTTTACATCAGATCTATGGCAGCTCGGGACTCTGAAACCATCACCAAACTCCCCTAATTATAAAAATATAAAATATTGTGGCCTTCATCATGCAGTTACTTGGGCACTAAAGATACTTGATTGCCAGCCTCTATAACTTGAAAGCTCTTGTAAACTTGGGAGGTTTAGCTTCTTTTTCTTTATTGTTCCGAGAAAGATTTTGTACTTGGACCAAGTACTATCTTCTTACCTGATTGGTTAGAAAAACTTTTTCATTTCTTTTTTAGATTGTTGAGGATCAAAAGGAAAGCGATCATGAAATCATCAAACGACGACTCCGAATGAAAAAAAAATAGTAATATTCTTTTCATGGGGAATCATGTATAGAATTGTTCAATAGATGTTATCAATGTTGTAACTGCTACTTCCATTATTTTCAAATTGTTGGTGTAGATATTGATATTGCTGTAAAAAGGAGCGAAGGGAAATTAAAATACATTGAAGATTCCTTGGTATTCTATTATTTATGTAGTTTCTTCAGAAGCCATATTACACAAGGCTGAATCTGCAATTTTAACAGTGTGGTATAATGATTAAGGGGTTGGGGTAGAAATGGGGTGAATCTGATTTTAGCCCATCCTCAACCACAAAGAGAGCCAATTTAATGTAGTGACAAAGACATTGGTCTAGAAACCAGGAGATCATGAGTCCTAGCTATGCTTTAGACATAGACACAGCTGGGTGACCTTGGGCCAGTTATTCACTCTCAGCCATAAGAAGTGGGCACTTAGAAACCACTTCTGAAAAACCTTGCCCCCCAAAAACTGCAGCGACTCAAAAAACTGACTCAAATACACACACACACACACACAACCACAAAAGCTTACTGAATGATGTTGGGCAGGTCACTCTGTCTTTTGTATAAACTGCTCTATATGCTCCTGAATAAAAAGCAGAAGGTAAATCAAATAGCTAAATGCTCCCAAATATCCTTTGGTCATGGAACTTACTGTAGCATCTTTATGATCTTGGCTTGGGATTTTTTTAAAGCAAGCCATTTTTCTTGACTTTGAATTGTTAAACCTGACAATAACTGCTGGGGAAACGACTGCTGTCAACATTCCTGTCATTATAGGCCCTGTACAGGCACTCTTTGACTTAAAACCACAACTGAGCCCAAAATTTCTGTTGTTAAGCAAAAAAGTTGTTCAGTGAATTTTGTCCCATTTTTCAACCTTTCTTGCCACAGTTGTTAGGGGAATCTCTGCAGTTGTTAAAGTAGTGACACAATTGTTAAGTGAATCTGACTTCCCCATTGACTTTGCTTGTCAGAGGCTTGCAAAATGTGGTCACATGATCACCAAACGGGACATGCAACTGTCATAAATAGGACCCAGTTGCTAAGCGTCCACATTTTGATCATGTGACCATGGGGATGCTGCAATGGTCGTAAGGGTGAAAAATGGTCATAAGTCATTTTTTTCAGTGCTGCTGTAACTTCAAACGGTCACTAAATGAACTATTGTAAGTTGAGGACTACCTGTAATTCAACAACTGTAGGGTTGAAGGTGTCTCTTCTCCTCGGAGCAATTCCAAGTGAAAAAAACTTGTAGTACCAGAAATGGAGTGAGTTTTGTATCTTAACTCTTTGGCACAAGAACTGATAATTTTAGGGAACTGCCATTTAGGCATAGAAGGCAACACCCACACCAACTTAGGTTAGTGGTTGTATCTGTTGCAATAAACTGTTTATACATTCTCAGTCTACTGCTTTATATTGTCGGTTTTTGCCATAGTGGTGACAGAGCTGAAAGCTCCACCTTGTTAGCTTTTCTTTCTAATTCAATGCAGGAGTTCCCCGTAGTGCCAAGGTTGCATATTCTAAACCGTTGGCTTCCCTGTGGGATTTCTGTTTTAATTTTTTGTTTTTAACAAAATGATGAGTGAAAAGGCTCAGTCTGAGTAAGATATATTTATTTTAATGACTGCACTTTTGTGCAATGGCAGGGAGGAAATTAAGCATTTTCATAGTTTCATTACACTGATCCCCCTCATATCTATGGATATTCTCAGTCATCCAGGTCATGTTGTCCCAAAAGTGCTTTTTTTAAAAAAGGCAATTGGGCTTTGTTTTTTCCTTGAAGACATTTTGCTTCTCATCCAAGAAACTTCTTCAGTTCTGACTGAATGGTGGAGAATGGAAGGATTTACATTCCTTGCAGTCGTCTGGTCATTAGTACTCTTCCCCCTCAACTTCAATCAATGCAAAATGTGTCTGCTGAATCTTCTAGAAGAAACTTTGAAGTACCATATTGGTACTCTATGCTTTCTGGATGATGTCGGTGCCGTATCTGGGAAATACATCTTTCGTTTGTACAAAAAATTTGCAAAAATCTCAGGAGAGTGTTCTGAGACTCTTGCATGTTCTCTCTGAAGATGGGAGCAAAGATGTATTTCCAAATGTTCAAGGGAAAAGTCTGGCATTTTTGTAAAAAAAACATTTTGCTGTTTACCTTTGGAAAGCCAACAATTTCTAAAGCAGCACCTGAGGCATTGTGCCTTCTCTGTTGCCCAGACTCCTGGTCCAACCAATTTTATTATTAAATTTTAATAATCATGCTCATAATTGTAAGTTGATGAGGTACTAATTCTTCAGTTGCCCTTGAATGAATGTCTGCTTTGTAATTGGTCACTGCTTTCCATAGAGCTGTCTTACGCAATATTCATAATATATTTTCAAAATTTCAAATATGCCCAAAATTCAACTAAGTACACTAGTCTAAAACATTGGAGATCCCTGGACCTCCAACCTTCCTTATATCCAAATAGGCCTTATAAAGTTACCTTTGATAGATCATTGCAACTGGCACGAATAATATCAATTCCATCATTTGTGTGATGTCACTTGTTCCACTTTATTTTCCCCCACAGAGCCCAGTGGCAATAACATTTCAATATTCTATCACAGGGGTGTCAAACTGCCGGCAATGGCAAAACTGTCCCGATACGTTGTGTGATGTCACGTGACGTCGCGAGTTTGACATGTCTGTTCTATCAGAATAAGAGAATAATAGAGTTAGAAGGGACCTTGGAGGTCTAGTCCAATCCTTGCTCAAGCAGGAATCCCTACACCCCATTTCAGACAAATGGCTGTCCAATCTCTTCTTAAAAACCTCCAGTGTTGGAGGACCCACAACTTCTGAAGGCAAGACATTCCACTGATTAATTGTTCTCACTGTCAGGAAATTTCTCCTTAGTTCTAGGTTGGTTCTCTCCTTGATTAGTTTCCACCCATTGTTGCTTTCTTGTCAACCAATAAGATTTGGATATTGAGTTGGTTGTCAGTTCCACTTTTGAACTATTGGGTCTATGCGTACTTAACTGTTAGAAAACAGACTGAGCTGGTGGCCCTCCTTCATCCTGTTGTCTAACTCAGGCAATTGTCAATCAAATAAGATCTGATATGTTTGTTTCTACAATGATTGAATGATTTTGTCTGAGTCTCTGGCTCAGTTTAAATTAGGAGATAAATAAACCTCCGCTAGATGGCACTTCAGCACCTTTTTAAAAGTAAAAATGAAGTGTAAAAGAATCCCATTTTCAAATGTTTTTATCTTGAAAAGTTTAGTTGCAGAAAGGGGAAAAAATGTTTATTTGGACCAAAGCACAATGTAATATAACCAAACAGTTAACGGCTGAGGCCTTAGTCACCATCTGGCAATCTACTTTGAGCAGGAAGTATTAAATGGTAAGTAGCACACTCTTTTAAGATATTCTCCAGGTTGAGCTTCTGCAAATAATGGATGCTCAGTTTGGGGATGACAAAAATCTCCCGTCCAAGAGCAAAAATAACCCCTTGCCTTTGGAGTTCTATTTTATTGTTTTGAAGTAATATTTCTTTTTAAAAGAAAGTTGCCAGTAAAGGGGAGAAGATGCTTTGAGTGCTGGTCTTGTCTAGCTAATTTGTAAGAGGATTGGACGCTGTAAATCTAGATGGTAAGGCATTAAAAGACAAATGTTTCAGCAGCGACATAAATCTGCAGTCACTGGGCTCCCCATTTCCCTAAGCCATAATGCAATTTATTCAATTGTAGATATAACATGTGTGAACTTGGCCATTGAGGCTAATAAACCATGGTGTTTGAAATTAGGTAGTTTCTAGCACATAGAGGATAATCAGAAGAGCCTCCACATGTTAGGATTCTTGATAAAGCTTGTTTTCAAAATGATAAGGGTTCCCCAATTCGAGTGAGAGTCCTTTAAGGAAATGGAGGCTAGGGGAAGGAAGAAAAAAAATACTAGGAATTACCTACTTGTTTCCTTTGTTCACATTCCTTCTTATTCCTTTGTCACTGCTATTTTAACAAGCTTTCACGCTATGTTTTAATAGAGAATGTTGAATAACTGTTTTCAAACTATTGCAGAGATTCTAAGATGGTTAGATAATAACAAAAACGTGGATTCTTATTCATAAAGGAAATAGAAATCACATTTAGGTAGAAAAAAGAAAAGAGTTTCTACTTAGAAATCCTGGGTTGAACGTGGTCAGTGGGGACCTTCTTGTAAGCTTATCTACCATGTCTTTATATTCTTGCCAACATATATAAATTTTTAGTACTCCTAGAAAAAGCTTGATGATCAAGGGCTCTTCCTGACCTTATTGGGCAGGGAGATGGGGAACTATAAACATGTTTACATTATATTTACTGAAAGCCTTTCCAGAACTTGATGAAATCTTGTTGGTAGGTTTGTTTCTAAATGCCTGCAAGCAAACACAAGTTTTGTCTGAAGATTGTAATTAAATTCAGGCTCTGTTTCCCCTAGTTTTGTTGTCTTCAAAAAATTGGATAAGACCTATGGATGTGACCCTTTCTAAAGTTGCTGCCAAATTTGTATGTTTCAGAAGGAGAAAATGATTAAAGCTACCGTATTTAATAATTCAGTTGAAGTTAAATTTAAATTGAAAGAAAGGAAATCTAATTTACTCTGCCTCCTGTCACATAAAGAAAAAAACGTAGTCTTTACTCCTTATTTTGCTTAAAGGGTTATAGAACTCCAAAGCACATCCCGTACTTGTGAACTTCAATTGGTCTAATAAAACTTTACTGTCCTTTTCTAGACAAAAGAGTGCTTTCATCCTTTACTTGACATGCTATCCAAGAAGGAGAAGAAAAACTGGTTTCTCTGACATAGACAGCAGCACCAAACTAACCTTGGCTAATCTTGAAAAAGTTTAGCAGAGTCAGGCATGGTTGTTGCTTGGAAAGCAGACCACTAGGAAATCTCAGGCCTACAGACTAGAAAACAAAAAAAGAGGCAGTGGCAAATTATTTCTGGATTGTTACCAAGAAAAAAAAAACCAGTGCCATCAGGAAGGGATGTTTTGTTTTATGTTAATTGCATTGCCTGGTTGTTTATACTGTATGACACCCAGAGTTATAGTAGAGTTGAGCGGTCTAAAGCAAACAAATATAGTCCTCAGGAACTGACCTTAACTCAAGGAAAAGC